TGGAGTGGGGGTGTGCCGGCAGCGCGCCGTTCTGCGGGGCGAGATGGGGCAGGGACAAAGGGTCCGAGCCCTCTTCGGGCCGACGAACCGCGTGTGGAAAGCAGCCTGAGTGCACGCACGGCCGTGTCCGAGCGCTGCCCCGTCTTCCTGACGGCTGTATTGCTTACAGCCTGCGTGAAGCATTGTATTGCATCATACGTCGCCGTTCTTAGTTATCTCTACGATACCGCGTAGATCTTATTTAAATCAATGGTAAATACGTTGGCTGTCGTTGGGTAGATACATTCAGTGTCCAAATGGAATCGATTTGCAGTAGATCACTGTAACTACATCTCCGTGCTGGCCGCAACTATTCTTTAGGCATCTAGAAGATGCGCTTATGCAGAAATGCTGTCTTTAAAGTAATTAATTATAATAAGAAAGCCTCTGGTTTTACCAGGATGACAAAAGCTCCTTACATGAGGAGTACTTTTTTTTTTTTCCAGCTGTGTAAGTACTGCCTGCTCGTGGCTTTGGTCTGTAGCACAAAGTTTTTATCCACAATCAGCCTTGAGTGCAATCAGTAGTGCCTGGCCCTTCTGTTGCTGTGGAGTTAAATCACTTCCTTGAATGGTGTAAAGCTTTGGTGAGAATTTATTACACAGGTGCAATGCCTGCCCTCTGCACTCACTGCTTCAGTAGAAGTGATGCTTGACTTGCAGTTTCACGGTTCAGACAGCACTTAGAGTTTTGATTAAAACAGGGGAAAGTTCTGCTGTGTAGGAAGTAAAATATCTCCTGGCATGTGCATTTGCACTTGACTATTTTCTGTGTTTGTTGGTAGTGCACTTCTTTCTCTGTTAGATTCCCTTGGTGCATTGCTGTGTTAAGTGTGTGTATGAAGAATCTACCATGTCACTTGTTATATTTTCATTTAATAGTGTCTAGTTTATCTTCTTCCCAAGTCAGCAGTCACTTTTGCAAGGAGACCTTCAGGATGTGGACCTAGGTTACTGTGACTGACTGTTTTCACTGAGCTTCTGGCATTCCTGTGAGCAAAATACTGGACAATGTTATAAGCAGTGGTGACAGATTTAGCCATATACATAGCATCAGCTCTTTGTTTACAAAGCTGGCCGTATTCTCTTACTCCTCCTGACTTACACGTACCTTCAAACCACAGAAAGGCATTTTGTGGTAGATTTCCTGTTCTAAGCAGCTGAACTCTTCTTATACACACTGAAACAGGTTGCCCAAGGAGGTTGTGGATGCCCCATCCCTGGAGGCATTCAAGACCAGGCTGGATGTGGCTCTAGGCAGCCTGGTCTGGTGGTTGGCAACCCTGCATATAGCAGGGGGGTTGAGACTAGGTGATCATTGTGGTCCTTTTCAACCCAGGCCATTCTATGATTCTATTCCTCAGAACATCTGTGGAAATTTTAGCCCATTTTCTTATTGTTTCTTGCTTGCGTTTAGTCTAATTGTTCTTTTATTATCATGTCTTAGAGTCTCTGGATAGTTTCCTTGGAATGCATGTGTATATTGGATGGCAACATGGGAATTAGCATAAAGACAAAGCAGGGAAGACATCTTTTTGTGTTCTTGATAACTCCTAGTCTGAGGCCTCTTTTGTAAGAATAGAGAAACTCCTGACAGAGAAAGAGCACTGAGAAATGCCAGGATTTTGGACAACTCATGAGGTAGCATACAATCTCAACAGAACGGCTGTGAAGAAAATAGTAGGCTCAGAGCCTACTGCACTTCTACCTCTGTCTCATACCTTTAGTATTTTCTGTCTCCTCCTCCTTTTCTGTCCACTGAGGTACCAGGACAGAGTACGACTCAACATCTCTTCTGTTCACCCATGGTAGAAGTCAAGGTTTCTGTTTCAGTGTGACTCATGTAGGAACAGTCAGCACCTTACAATAATTTCTGTTGTGATATTGCTCCATTGTGAAAACAGCTCATAGAATCACAGAATATCCTGGCTCCACACACAAACTACAGAAAGCTCAAACCCTGTGTCTAAAAGCATTGTCCAAATGTTTTAAGTCCGGCAGCTTGGGGCTTTGCTCGCTGCTCTGGGGAGCCTGTTCCTGTGCCCAACCACCCTCTGATGAAGAACTTTTTGCTATTCCCCAGCCTAACTCTCCCCTGCTGCAGCTCCATACTGTTTATTGGGTCCTGTGGCTGTAACCAGAGAAGAACTGTTTGTTACTTGTTTCTTTTGTTTCACTAAAATTACCTGGAAAAGATTGACAATTTTCCTAGGTAAAGATGAATAGAATGTTACTTGAGCGTAGATCAGACAGGGAGAGGCTGAGACAGCTTTGTAGTCAATGGGTTTTGCTGATGTGTGTCATGGGTATGAGGGTCTTGTAAGCTCCACAGGCTATGCACGGGAGAAGTGTCATTGGTATTGTATATAGGTATGAAAATGATAACCCGTTCACTAGATACAGTGTTTTTTTAAATCTTTGAAATTTCAGTATCTGCATTAGTTAAATTGAAGAAGCAGACTACCTGGCTGTGCCACTCTATTGGCGTCCTTCCTTCCACCTGTCAACTGTACAGCACTTTAGTATTCTCTTGTAATGCCCTTGACACCTGCCTGGTAATCTTTATACTTTCCCATTCCAATTATGCTTACTATTTCCCTTTACACATATTATGCAAAAAGTGTCATACAGCAGCAAGATAACTCAATTTGCTAGATCCCTCGTGTTCATGAGGCATTTCCAGTATGATCTTTCAGTTGGTTGGGAGCATGCAGAAAGCTGTCCTCTTCCTGCTTAATAGTTAAGTATTTGCTGGGCCTGTTTAGGTGCCTGGCATGCTGGTATTCTAAGTCAAAGTGGCTGGAAGTACCATTGGTCCTTGAGAATTACAATTGAGGTTGCTGTCACCTAATACAAGTGTACCAGCCTGGGGAAAAGATGCTTTGTTACAGCTTTCAACAAATTCCTACATTCCTGAAAGTGAGTATTGATCACAATTCTTATATCAAAGAAATGTTGCCATCAATGTTCTAACAAATGCATAATCAGGAAGGAAAAGCTCCTTTGCATTTTCCATGCTCAAACAGAATGGGGAGTGCATCACCTGTTCCACGTCACAGTTATGTCCAGTGTTATTTACTGCACGTTTTTCAGGTCATAGCTCTGTCCATCGGGCTTAAATATATCAATGGCCACAGCCTGCATTATAAATTTTGCCACATCAAACAGATGATGGTTCACTGAAAGGTATTTATCAACTTCTGAAGACCGCTGATCCCTATCGAATAGCTCTGAAGGAAGACAAGCACAAGGAAGGTATCACTGCCTTGGGAAAACAGTGTTTTTCATGCAGAAATTCAAGAGCCATCTCTGTGATTGAATAATAATGAGTAATGGTCACTTTACTGGTCAGAAGTGTTACCTTCCTCTATGCAGTTTATAAGTGGATTCCTACAGCACCCAGAGATTCTCATTCACTGTCTGCACAGTCTTCTTCTGCCCAAGTTTTTATGTTTGTTCCACTTCGGTTCTTACTTCTTAACTTCAGTCCTTGCATCTGTTCTGCTTTACAGTCAGTTGCTCTTTTAATGGAATTGCTAGAAATATTAGGGGAGAGGGGGCAGAGCTCAAGAGACACAGAAGTGCCCTGATATGCTTGGCATGTATTTGCCTGCCAGCAGTGTGGCGAATCAAAAATTGCTTTAATGTAGAGCAAATTATGGAAAAAAAATGTTTTATTCATGCCTGTTATTTTATTAAAGATGATAAGGTAGGGTAGCGGAAACTTGATGATAAGTTACTTGAGATGAGGTTTTTCAGAACCCAAAGAGAGATTTGTTTGTTTGAACAACATTTGTTTCTAGATTTCTTTTTATTTTTGAATATATAAATTTAAAATGTTTATTAAAACTATCTAAATTTATGCATCATTATTCCAGTGGGAGGACTGTGTCAGAACTTCATTGTTTTGATAGTAACTGCCATCTCCTTTCTGGCTCAAAATTCATTCATGGCTTCTTTATAGTTGCACTTTTGCTAATGTTTTCCATTAACATATACCATTCTTTTACATTTCCTGAATTTATCTCTCAATGTATACATAGAAAGCGATCCTATTTTGGCTAGGGATTTTGCTTAACTGGCTAAGCCAATATATTTAGTCTCCTTTTACAGAATGGGTTTTCTTGTTATTCACTGCTTCAAGCTTGAGTTCATCTTTCTTTACATGAGCCTGTAGTGTGATATTCAGTGTTCTTGCTGGGGTCTTGTAGGCACTTGTTTCTGCTGGGAATGCTTTGATTCTTGCGTTGTAGGCCTACAGGCAACTTTTTTGAGTGTTCATACTGTTGATTCAGTTATAATGCTACTCATGTTTGTACTTTAATCATCAGCTTCCACATTACTGGAGGAATTGTTTGTATTAGTCACTGTATGTAAGATCTTGCTGTTGTCTGCATGCCATTATCACTCAAGGTACCCACTCAAGATCATCCAGGTCTTTATGTATGATATTTCTACACATGCATTTCTACATGTGATGTTCTTGGTGTTACCAGGACATTTCATTAGCATTCTCGTGGTATGAAGATGAAGCTTTGATCAAAGTCTGATTCTGGAGGAACTCCATTTGTAACTGACCTGCTGGTTTTCTATTCCACACAACCCACTGTTATCTCTGTTATTTATGTATTTAGTTCATTTTGTATCTTAACTGATATGGGATGGTACTGAAAGCCCATACCCCACAAGGCATAGTATCAAAAGTCCATATAGACTTCCTCAATTTCCAATATTTAGAAAACGAGCAGTCTCATCAAAGGATTTGATGCCATCTACTCTGGTGAACTCATGTCTTTGCTGATGATCTGTTCTCTTCTTTGTCTTTGAATTTTGCAAGGAAGATTAATTATGTGCAGTAGCATGCCAGCTTTTGATCAGATTCATAGAACTGACATACTGCTTTTTTCTCCTTGGCAGCATGTCTGCTGTTTTCCACTTGCAAGTTTATAGATTTATTAAAAAATCTTTTCTGCTGGATCTTTGATCTAATGTGCCCATTCTTTCAGAACACTGGGATGAAAGTGATCCAAATACTATTCCATAAGTGCATTTTCAGCTCCGTAGTCCTGCTTGCAGCTAAGTCATTTGTCCTATATTTTAATGAGCTTGTGCAATATTATTTTATGTTTGGGTCGTTGTTAAAGCTATGTTCACAGGATGGTTCAGTTTGAAAGGGACTTTGACTTCCTTAACGCGGTGATTTTTGTCACTTGGCAGGGTTAGAAATGCAGTTGTTTTTTTTAAATCTCTAATGTTATAAGTTATGAAAAAGGGACTGGAAAAGTGTCTGTAGTGCTCCTTCAGCAGGATTATTTTCACTGAATATCTTCTTTACATTATGTAGAGGTTTGTGAGTGGAACTGTAAGCAGGATCATGAGGCTGACTGGACTATAAACTAGGTGGCTAAGAAAGACGGGAGGGAAAAAATACCTTGATGTTATTTTTTTCAATCAGATTGTTTCATGTTTTATCTCGCCACTTGGCTATATAAATATTACCAGTCGTGTTCTGGAATGGTACTGCACCTTTCATCTGCACCCGCTGCTGATGTCAGGTTAAATTGGCCGTGTAACTGCAGCCTGGAGCGATCCCTCTGCTGCAAGTTGTGGTGCACTGTAGAGGCACCTGAGCCAGTGGCAAGTGGACTAATTCAGTTGTTTTGCTTCTCAGCAGTCTACTATGAGGAAAGGGAGGACAGACTGTGCTCTCTTTTCATCTCTCTTTTCATCACATCACTGGGAGGAGGCAGGTGATAGCAGAGTGAAAACAGAAGAAACTACCAGCTTAAATGTATGTAAGAAACCTTCTGGTGATTGTGGGTGCCAAGTATACTCATCAGGCATTTTTGAATAACGTTAATGTCTTATCTAAGCAGGCAGAGGAAAGTATTGTATGGGCAATGTGGTGTGCAAACCCATATTGCCGTTATTGTTCCTCACAGGAAATTTGAAGACAAAAGTACATGCTGATTCACAGTAATTTATTTTTTACATCTCTTGGTCCAAAATTTTGGAATCTTCTGTGCTAATTCCTCCAGGGTCATTTTTACAGGAGAGTTAATACTGTAGTACTGTTCCCACCATTTTGTCATGAACCAACTTCCTTGAGACACTCAAAATATAAAATCCATCACTGTGCTTGATTGGATGGGGCCAATCAAGAAATATTCTATTGGTTTACCAGTCAGATGCATTAACTTCATGAATTTCATTTTACGTGTAAATGAAAGTAAAAATCTGTGAGTGTTAGTAACCAATCTAAAACCAACTATGAGTTTCATGTGACAGCTCAGTGTGGTGGCTTGTGCAATCAGCAGCTTCCCACCCCAGGTCTGTGGCAGGCCTCTTTCTCTGTCTTCCAGAGAGGATATGTTTACCACTTCTGCCTTCAGTTTTTCAGTTATTATTAATTTCTGTCTTTGACAGAGAGGTCAGCTTTTGTATTCACAAGTCCATTTTTGATTGGGTGAATAGCAGTGGGAGCTTTGGATTAATGAGTTTCAGAGCTTTCCTAGCATGTAATACTTCTCCCTAAGACTTTTCCATTATGGCAGTAATGTGCCACCTCCTGCTGAAAATGCAAAGGAAAGAGCTTTCCCGTTCCACAAGTTCAGTGACATGGAACTGTGCATGGATTATAAAGCTCTTCAGAATGCAGAAGTGCATGCAATTAGAGATATACCGTGTATCAGGAAATATCCAGGAATACATTATGTCTTCAAAGTAGTTCTCGGAAACTGCTTCTAAATCACATGGTGGTGTAGCATTGAAGAGACCAAAGCCTGCCTACTGTGGCAGTGAAAATAGAATAGAAAATGTAAATGATTCTTTCACTGTCGAAGTCAGTCTAATATTAGCCCTGCCAGTGACTGGCTGCTCGTCAGTTGGATGAAAGGAGGAGGTAGCTGCCAGCCAGGAGAATAAGACCAAGGCTTTTAAATACTGTTGTTTGGGAAATCTTATTAATGACTTCATGTAAGATCGATGTGCAGTAATTCTTTCAGGCAGTATCTTTTTAAAAGCCTTTAGCAATCTGTCATCCTCGCCTCCCTCCCCCCCGGTTATAAAGCCACATTAGTCAGGAGAAATTGCACAGTCCTGGGAAGTTTCAAACTGCATCCGCTGATGCTGTCAGGAAGATGCTACTGTGCAGGAGCACAGGTGCGATTGCATTGACTGCTACTCTTCATCCTCGGCTCGGATCATCCTGGAGGGACGAGTGGAACGAAACGGGGAGGTGGGCGAGATTCTGTCGGATGCTTGGGAACAGTACAGGAGAGAAAAATGGAATGCCCTCGTCCAGGAGACAAAGATCGCGCTGTCTGTAAGTGCTAGCTCAACTTTTCCAAGTTATGTTTTGAGAGAGAGGGAGAGATTTCAGTACGGTTTATTTGGTTGGGAGCTTTGCCACCTGTTAAGCTCATCTGTTAGGCTTTGTAGATAAGTAAAATCTTTTTCAAACCGAGAATTCAGAGCTTGTTGTCTGTTTGGAGGTTGTTTGATGGTGTTCCTGGACCACTCAGCTTTGAAAAACATTTCTATATTTTAAGAAGAGATCTTTAAACACTTTATTTTGTGCAATCACATTAAATGTTACTGTTAAGGTTATTCTGCTCCATTAGCTATGGTTGAAAGCTGGAGCGGGGGGGTTACTAGGTAGTAAATTTGATCTTAGTAAAGGATTTGGGGTGTGGGAAGACCCCATCTCTAATGGAGAAATCTCTAATGGAGAAATCCTGAGTCATTTAGTTCACGATGCATCAGCAAAAACAATTTGGGTGTGGCTTTCATATTCAGCTGCTATTGTAACAAAACCATGAAAACTAACAACATTTTATTATTCGTGATTACAAAAGTTTTTTCTCAGAGTATGCATAAAATGCACATATTAAAGTGCAATATTTGTTTGCTGCAGTAGATAAAAGATATTTGAGAAAATATCAGTAAAAAATCAGCCTCTTCTGCAACCAAGAAATCCTCTATGATAACAACCTTTCCATCATGTAGCAGCATACAGCGTTGTGTGTTTGATTTTTTGTTAATGTTTGACTTGCTTTTGGTATTTATTTTTGCTGTAGGCTTAGAGTTGTGAACAAGATGATTGATCTTTGGTTCAGTTTAGGAGCTGGGTTTTTTTCTAAGTCAGTGCTGTGTGGAAAGTGGCTTTGAAATAAAGCTTGGAAAAGGGGTAAAGAACAGAATCTTGGAATTAGATTGAGACTCAATTGCTTTCAAGGGTCAGAAATTACAGTTGTCATTAAACATAAGTATTTGAGTTAAATGTAAAATACATAGGCTGAAAGAGCTGTGAATAAGGAGGAAAGGGAATATTTTTTCTTGATTCTGGACATGAGAGCTAATATAAACCTACAGTATATTATAAATTTATGTTTACAGTTGGATGTCTTTGCAATGTGACATAGTAGTGAATTAGAAAAGTCATACAGAAATAAGCAGGAGTTTCTGTTGTTCCTGTTGTACCCAGAAAACCCAACTTCATAAAATCTGGGAAAGCTTATTCTTATTTCAGTGCATCAGCCATATCAGACAAGCTGTTTCACTTATTAACCAGATTCTCCTTGTCTAGTCTGTTAGAAGTGCGTGAAAGTATAACGGCTTCTTGATTATTGGCTGTCCTGGAACTGTTCTCCATTTCGAGAATGTGTTTTGGACAAGTAGCATAATAAAATGACGTCCTGATTGTAAATGTAATGCCTCTCTCTTGTATCTAGGTGATCTCAGAAAGTGAATTAGAAGACACAACTTTGAAGAAACTTTAGAAATAAATACAACATATTGCTGAAAAACCCTATCCTGGTATCTTCACTTGCTTTAGATGGTGGGGCTCCAACTTGTTGGCTTGCCTGGGCCACATTGAGTGATTGTCGTGGGCTGTGTATAAGATAGATAGTTCATGTACTTATCATAACAACACTTTTTTTTAATCCACTGTCAGTGTGTGGCGGGAATGAGAGGCAGAATTAGCCCTCATGCTCTTCCCTACTTGGTGTTCAGTTGTTGCCTACATGGTCTATACTAAAGCTACGTACTATCAGTTTGTGAAACGCTAAAAAAATCACATAATAATGTTCAAGTTGATGGTATTTGGGGGATTCATTACTGACTGTCCCAGGGCTGCGTGTGGCCTGTGGGCTCTGGGTTGGATATGTTTGGTTTAGATGGCATTTCCTGTTAGTAACTGGTGCTATGATGGTGATAGAGCAGGCTGAATGATGACTGTGTCATTCTAATAGAGGCAACTAGAAATTAATAAATGAAACTGACAGTCAAGCGTGAGCAATACTAACTATTCTAATAGTATCCAGTTTGAGTGGTTGAATGTGAAGTTAAAGATTGAAAAATACACAGAAATAGATTCCTCTAGGATAATATGGTTCTGTATCAATAGTAAAATGAAATTTTATATTTTACATTTCCCATTCAAATCATGTACCGAAACAATGTTGCTGTTCCTTTACCTGACATTGTAACAGTTTTCTTTTAAGACTTACATTTTTTTTGTACTCCAGCCTACCGCTCATTGCAAGGATACATTTCTGATATGTCCAGAATTTCTCAAACTAAAACTGTAGCACCTATAATATGTGGATAAGCGTCAAAATCAACTGGGAGGTTGTTTATTTTAATTTTTATTTTTTAATATTGGGCTGTTGAAAAAAGAATGCATGAATATTAGGAAAGAAAATTAAGAGGAAAAAAGCAGATTCTATAAATTCAAAGCTATGATTTATGAAGCATCATACGTATTAGGATATTAGAGCATTGGTTTTTAAAGCTCTGTGAGGATTGTGAGTATTAATTATAATGTTTCTGTTGCTAGTCTTGAATTGTAAGTATATAATGTAGCGTATTTTAATGCTATCATATTGCAAGGGAATGCTTGTATGGCTTGTATGGTAATTCTTTGACTGTATTGGTTGAAGAAATCCTCAGTGAGTTACACAGACTGCACAGCTTTGCAAGTGAGAGGCTTGTCAGTAATAGTTAAAATCAGACAGTATCTAGGACATTTAATATAATGTCAATAAATAGTTTGTGTGTTTATGTTAGTGTAGGCTAACGCATGACGTAGGTGATATTTCTAATAAAAGAAAAGGTGTAAACCTCAAATTTTATGAATGAACAAACTGTAAAACTGAGTGGGCTATGCAAGAGAGCTCACTTGTAATGGAAGATTTTTATGATCTGTTCGTTAAAGTTCTTCATAATCTAATTTCACAGAGGCTTCAACCCACTTCTTAGTTCTTTCTGTACCCACGTCTCATGTAGTATAATGGATTTAGAAAAAGGAACAAATGGTATTTTTACTTAGAGCACAGGGCATAGTTTCTTCATTTAAGTTAATAAAAAATGAGGTTTTACAGTGTGGACTGTAAATTTGGCTAATAATCTCTTAAGAAAAATAGGGGAGAGGAAATACGTGGCCAGAGGAGGTGTACTAGAAGAGGGTTGCCAAAGCCCAAGTTCTTCCTGAGAAACTCAGAGAACCCTGCATGTTTTCTTGAAGGAATATGTGATAAACATTCCAGTAAAATTTTAATCAATTATAATTTTCCAATTCAGTAATCAAAAAAGTCAAACTATAAGGGAGACATTTAAAAAGGCTTCAAAAAGTTTATCAGAAGGATTTTATATAAAACCTAGTAAGGTGCTGTGTTCTATCTTGATTACAAGAACAAATGAAAACATCACAACTACAGTCTAATGTTTCATTAACATTTGAAGAGGTGTTTGATTTGTTTTGTTCTGATTTTTACTATTTCTGTGCAGTAGAAATTATACTGATTAAGATAACCGTATGGTTTTAATGTGTAAAAATAAGAGAGAAGAGCCAGGCATTCTTAGGTCTATGCAATAATTCACTTACTAAACATAGCATTCAGGATTTTAGCTGATTCTCTCTGGTTTTAGTGGACAGAGTCTCTCTTGCTGCATGTCTCTTCCTCTGCCTTCTTTTATCCATTCCTGTGGGGAAATGGAACCAATCTGAACAGCTTTACGCTGTTTTTCTTGATCAGCTTTTAAGAAAATGATCTCATAGTGTATCATTCCCTCCTGTGCCCTGCACATTTAAAGTGACCTTACACAATCAGAATAAAAAAGACTCTCTTTTTTGTCTCCTGGAATGCTGACAGATTGCTTTTTTCATACTGAATATTTGCTCTGTGGTGGTTTTGGATCATTAGCAAAAACATACTTTGCATTTCCTTTAAGTTGATTGGTGTTTGCTTGAATCCCTTGTAATGACAAGCTATCAGCTGTGTGGCCTTTCTCCAGTGACCCAGAAGGAGAAGTAATTTTACCTTATTTCCACAACAGAGAGCTGTTAATATCACCATCATCTCTAGCATTATTTGGTTAGCTGAATGGATTCTGTCTAGCCTTGCCCCTGCAGTGGAGAAAGCAGAACGCAGCAGGTATGCCTTAAAATAGTAGTGGAAAAACTCCTTGGCATATGTATTTTGACAGCTGTCTGTATTTAGGCGAGTATCAATAAAGAGAAGAATAGTCTTGTGTCTTGCTTGTGACAGGTGTGATTGGGATGATTGTCATCACTGAAGACAGCAAAAAAAAGCAGGATTTCCAGATTACTGAGGTGAAACAGTCTTCAAACTTCTTGGTTTGTTTTCATGCCAAAACACAGTATTTGAGGCGCAGTCTCACTAGCGCTGTGTACAAGGACGCTGTCACTTCCTAGTCTTGTTGGCCTTACTGTTTCTGATGCAGGCCAGGATGCCAATGGCCTTCTTGGCCACCTGGGCACGCTGCTGGTCACGTTCAGCCAGCTGTCAGCTAACACCCTCAGGCCCTTTTCTGCTGGGCACCCATACTGCTGCGGGGTTATGACCCACGTGTAGCAGTTAGCACCAACCCTTGTTGGATGCCACGAGGCCAGACTGAATCCATTCACTGTGACTCTGAACCCAGCCATCAGCCAGATGAACTGACCCACAGAACTGTACGTCTGTCCAAGCCATGAGCAGCCAATTTCTCCAGCAGAATATTGTGGGAAGCAATATGAAACTTGTTACTAAAGTTGAAGTATCCATAGTCTTTACCTCATCTAAGTGTCATAGAGGTAGATGAGGCTAGTCAGGCAGGACCTGTCCTTCATGAATCCATGCTGGCTTCACACCGTTTGTTTGTCTTATATATGCTGAGTGATGGCACTCCAGATGACCTTCTCTATTACCTTCTCTGGTACCAAGGTCAGACCAATAGGCCTGTAATTCCTGGAGTTCTCTCTACACTCATTTGTCTAAACTTGAAGTGCTCTTGCTGATTCTGTCTGAAGTATCCATGCTACCCTAAGAGTCTCCGGTGTGCGCAGGTTTGAGTTGTTCAGGTGTGCTGGCAGTGTGCCGCCTGCTTTGTGTGGAGACCATTGTAAGAAGACATGGTTGTGCATGTCCATTCCATTTGAAGTTTTGTCCTGAAGTTACCGGGGTAATTTAACGTTGCCTTAAATAAAAGAAGTATTCTAATCTATTGTGTTTTCTTTTGCATTTTAATTAATTCTGGTGAAGAGGCATGTTGTACTTTTAGAGAAACATAGCTTCTTTCCTGCCAGTCTAGAATTGCATTGTTTAAATTAGGGTTGTCTGCACTTAAAAAAGTGCTTGATGGTGGAGGAAGGATCCTTGGAAAAATGACAGGAGGTGTCACACTAGAAAAATTCCCACAAGGAAGTGAGTCATTAATGTAAGGTAGTGCTTTGCAGCATCATTGTCATGGGTGAGGGGGCTGCCTGCACCTGCACAGAGCTGTGAGCTGGTATGAATGTTTGAGTTTCAGGTTGTGAGTGGACTCTGAATCTGTTGTGAGTAACTCAAGGGGAGTGTGCAAAAGTGTGCATCTGCATCTTTCAGTAGGTAACAGTGCAAATAGCACTTTGGTGACGAGTTAAAAGTAACCCTGCCAGTAACAAGTTCATTTATTAAGCTAGAATTGATTATTGCTTCAGTTTTTCTGTACAGCAAGCAGTAGTTTGAGGTTTGCCATGTTGGTTCTTGGTCATGGTAGAGACCGTTTTCACAGCTTGTTTCTGCAGACCTCTGCAATTGTTTGCCAGTTACTGTGGAACTTTTACTTTTTACTGTTCTTGCTGTCTCCCTGATAGTAAGTTACAGTTCTTCAGATGTTTTCTGTTCTTTTTACTCAGTTTTTACCTGGTTGCATGTTACTGTGGGAAGTTGGTAAAGATTGTCAGAAGTGAAAATGAGTTTCTAAGCAACAAGGCTGAGAGGTTTTCTTAGAAGAAGTCTCTTTACATCTCCTGTGTAGAACTGGAGTCAATTTAAATATACTCTTCATCAAATATGTAATAAATATTGCTGTATGCGTGAATGCTAACAAATAACAGTTACGTAAATCTAGATATCTAGTTAGGGGTGAAAAGAGAATGCAAAAGTCTGTATAGGTAAATATTTAGAAATGTAAAAATCCATTCTGTGGTGATCAGAACCTCATACTTACTCTAAAAGATTTCCACAAGGACTTTTCTTCAAGTAGTGGTTTTGCCAGCAACCTCAAGATCTTGATTTGGGTTGTTGGGTTGGTTGGTTTGTTTGTTTGTTTTATCTTTTTTTTTTTTTTTTAATAAGTGTGACACTCAGTTGCCAGAAGTGTTAGTGTTGTTCCCAGAGAGAGCAGAAGCCATTTTCTAGATATTTTTTTTTCTCATTTGTGTAAAAGTCTCCTTAGGTCCCTAATCTGTACTGAGTTTTCATTTACTGAAGTTTGAAATGTGCTCTAGTTTTCAAGTTTGCTTCAGTAGAAGTAACACACAAAATGTATTGATTCAGTTTTTATGAACTTAAGAATAAAGTATCATCAAATGGTCTGGAGACACACAAGAATGTTTTAAAATATATTGCTAAGTGTTTAGTTTATGTATTGATTACATGTATGGTTTAAGCTAAAGAAACATCAGGTAACCTGAAAAAAAAAAAAAAAAGGCTTTGGAAGAAGTTGGTTGGTTATATGTTTGTTTTTTGTCACGCTGACTTGTATATTGACTTTTGCAACCTTTTTCATTGCAGTCAAGATAAAACTTGAGGGAGACGGAAAGTAAAGGTTTGACTTATTTGTTCTTACTGTGACACTGTGGGGTTTTTCCCGTTACATACCTCATTGCTGACGTGTTGTTTAACTGTGCTTCATCATGTTATAGTCATATTTTATGAAAAATAGGGAATATCTCTTGCCCTTGGTTTTTGGTTTTGGTTTTGGTTTGTTTTTTTGGTTGGTTGGTATTCTCAAATTTTTCCTTCTTTTTTTTTTTAACTCTTTCAGAATTCACCACTCTACGAGTATCTGCAGGATTTGGGACACACTGATTTTGAAGTATGTTCATCTGTGTCACAGAAGGCAAAGCAATGTGCAGTAGAGGAAGGCCAGAGAGAAAGGACTGTGCACACTGCCCAGAAAGTGAGTGTTCTCCTTTTTCTTAATATTTATTCTATCAAAAAAGAGCCACATTACTTCACAGATAGGCATAATTGGAAAGGATAAAGATGGAATTCTTACTGTAATAATTAAAAAGAAAAGTTAATAGTAACAGTTTTCATATGTTGTCTGCAAATGTTTGGGAATATCTGATCTGCCATTGTATTTTGAGGTGTTCTTTGCTTTTATGTGAATTAAGGAAGAAAGATGCTTTGATAGTGAATTCTGTAAGAGTTGTAAATGATACTATTTACTGGATTTTATTACTGTGGCTTGGCATGATATTCTATGAATAACACCTGTGATTTTCTGGAACAAAATATTTATAAGTCCCAACCCTTCTCAATCATTCAGTTCCTAAATGTTACTTCTTACATAACAAAATACTAAGAAAGAGGATTTCTGGGAAGTAGAAATACCAGAGCCAATCTGAAGAAAGTAGAACAGTGCTTAAATTCTAGCAATTTTATAACAGTAACAGCTGAACAAGGTCCATCGGCTAATAAGCTCAGACTTCTAATTTTTCTATTATTTTAAATAAAGGCTAATGATTTTTTATGATCGTTTTTGTATTAAAAGCATTCTTGAGAATTAAGAACTTGGAGACTACTGAAATATGGTAATGCTGTAAAATATTTTTATAGCATGAATTTGGCCACTTAACACATACGATGGTCTACTTATGTCTTGTTTTCCTTATTAAGAATAAATGTGATTGTACACTTATTGATAGTGGTAGGCCATGTGGTTCAGGTGATGATCTCTAGTATGGGTGAGGAAATTCCAGTCTTGAGGCAACTCTCTTTGCTGGTCTTAAAAAAAACAAGTATATAGAAAATTCCATAGTTAGACAGTCTGTCTGACTACCCTCAAATCAGAGGTTCACAACCCTTTCCCTCTCTTTTGTAACCTCTGCTGCTTCCCTGCTCCACAGTGTTCCACCTTTCTGCTTAGCTGGCAGTGGACTGGGGAGCAGTGTGATACAAGTGGCCCTGAGATCTCCAGAAGGTCTCCCTGCAGGATGTGGTGGATGGGGGGATCATATAGTGAATGAGGTGAACTGATATTTCTCTTAGGCTTTTTTTTTTTTTTCCATATAGTTCTTAAGATGCTGCAAGGAACGAGTTGAGTAATAGTCACAATTAGTTAGGCTTTATTTCAGCATAAACCTTTCAGTTTTGAATGTGTCCTTCCTGTTCCTCCTTCATGTCAGATCCAAGCATTTTTATTTCAAGGACTTTTAATCTGTTCTGCTCTGTGTGGGGTCTTAGGTAGGTAGGCTTCAGAAGTGTGTGAATTGGTGTGAATAACACTGGGTTTTTTTTTCTGATCTGGAAAAAGTGCTTGTGGAAAAATAAAGTAATGCAACATTTTGATATTCACAACTATGGAAGTCATTAAAGCAGTATGATTCTGTGTTCATATCTGTAACTTCCACTGAATTTAATGCAAAACTGCTATAGGGTTAAGAACCTTAAAAGTGTAAGGATGTACTGCTTTTAAAAGCCTAAAGGATTGTTTTGTTTTGTTTTTTTTTTCCTTTGCTTCCCTTCATGTATTTACCCTTAATTTTACTGCTCTGGGAGGAAGTCCTCTGGTATTACATCAGCTGTAGAAGTAATTCATCATGGCTTGCTGGGCAACTTGAAAGCAGAGGGCATGTGAAAATGGATTGCACATTTCTTACAAATACTGGGATGACATTCATACTGTCTCATCTCAGTCTAGACAAGGATGCATGGTGGGGAAAAAAGGAAGAAGCATTTGTGTAATTGGTAATGATAAAATTTAGTAGGTTCTTCTAACTGTTGTTTCAGTAATTTGGGAACATCTTTTGTAATCTAACGTCAGAAAGTCTGTTTTTATGTCCCATTTTTGGCAGAATGTCTCAAAAGGATAGAGACAGCTTGCTACATATTTGAAGAAGTACACCAAAATAAGGAGGATCTGGGGCTTTGTTAAAACTTCTCTGTGATGTGTAGGCAAATCATTTCAATTCCCATCCAATCATTTCCTCATTTTTAGATCGGACTGTTATCACTTCCCTTCTCTCACTGTTTGCTGATGTAGTCTACTGACATTGTAAAATATCCAGGAAGCAAGTGGTTTCCAATCTCTGAATATGTACCCCCTCCTAATGTGAAATGATTTTAGTTGAGTCTTTAGTATAGCGTAAATAACATAAACACAGTAGGTGTTCCATGCTGAACAATGCCTAGTACACAGGTATTGTTTTCTTTCTGTTGTGAAAACCGAGTTCACAACTGGCTTAAGCTTTTTTTTTTTTTTTTTTAATTTAAAAGATACTTTAGAGTTAAATGCAGTGCAGATCAAGTGCATAAACAATTAGAGTTTTGGCTTTCTTGGTTATCACAGTCCATCTATCTTTCCTAGGTTTTCTAATGGATCTGAAACACCTTGGCATCTGAAACAATACTCTTTCCTTTAAAAGGTGTTTAACTTTTTAGGGGGGCAACCAATTCTGCTTTATTTCTCCATCTTCACCCCATTCTGCTAAATACAGGATTTGTTCTCACTAGAAAAGGAGACAAATAATGTTCCTGAAGAGAGAAGTAAAATAATATTTTTTTTCTAGGTTGCCAGCTGACTGAGTGGAAAACTAATATTAGAGAGGTTGCAGTATTGCTATGTCTTTGAGTTGGGATTCTTTACTCCTCTTGTAAGTCAAGTAGGATCCCTGTTCAGGTACAATCTTGTGACATGCAACTGTATTTTGGCAAGGTAAAGATCTAGTGTGGGATCTTAGTGGATTGAAAAAACAAATCTAGGAGATAAGGACATTCCTAGTAACTGATACCAACATTGCTGTATTTTGCTTTCCTACAAAGCAGTGCATATCGTTCAGGCTTAGTGAGAGATAAAGGCATCAGCTGAATTTGAAGTGCACCTTATTTACTTTTTTGGTTGGTTAGTTTTGTTTTGTTTCCTTAATCAGACCATGGTCTTCATGAACAGTGAAATGAAAAGCTGTAAAGGTACTTCCAGACTGCTCTGAGGGCTGAGGGAGTATAGAGAAGTGATTTAGAATGGTAATTATAGTTGCAGTGCTTCTGGCTGTACCAGTCTCAAGAGAAAGTTATAGCTGAAGTTCTGATCTCGTGGTCAGTTTTACTGTTTAAAGGAAGTACTAGATTTGTTTTCTGGAATTAAACCCAGAATTATTTATGTAATTCTGCTTGATCTTTAAGGAATATGCTTCCTTCATATACATTTTTCCTTTCTCATTCATTTTCCTAGACTACTGTGCATATCTGAGTGTCTTAACTGATTTTACTGTCACCTCATCTTGACTCAGATGTGACAGTTATTACTAGAACAAGGCAGGTACTAGAAGCAGATACTTAGCATTCTGTTGAGGCCATCCACAGAAATTGGAAAGGAGGGACAGGTCCTTGCCTTTGTCTATGACTTCCACCTACATAAGGTCAGCTTGGAGTAGCTGGAAGGTATTACTGCTTAGTATTATCATCTTTCTGAGCTGCACAGAATTGGAAGACGTCAGTATTAATGATGGTGTTTTAGATACTGCTGAATTGCCATTTCAAGTTCACCCTTAGAACTTGACCACTGCATAGAAAAGAAATATTTCTAAGAATTTTATTTTAGGTTCAAAATGAATGATCCTAAAAGTTTGATTTTCTACGCTACTTTTTTAATGTTAGACGGTGGATACCTTTAATTCTGCTAATTAAGCTTAATAATAAGCTTAATAATAATTACATATTAAGCTTATTAAGAGAATTCATTTGACTGACTTGCTTTCTGGTGTTGTAAGAATAATGCTCCAGAAGCACTGGCAACATGACCTGACTTGTGTGTTGATGAAAGTTGTTTTACTTGTCAGTAACACTCCCAGTGGGAATGCAAACTGTGAGACACTGTTCCATGGAACTGAATAATTGAATGTGTTACTGCACTCTACTGGGTCACAGACCAAGACAGTGGGTTGTCTTGTTTTGTTTTCAAGCACTGACATGCCTGTTGAGCATTTGTGCAAGCTCATATTTTTATTTTTGATCTAAAACACGGCAAGTAAACCAAACAGTTATGTAACACACCGGTCTGGTTTTTTTCAGTAGTTCTACAGTCTAGTTTAGTCAGCTGGTAGCAGTTTAAAACTGTCTTTGGTGTAGATTTAAATGCTTATGATAAAAACAGAAGAACTTCAGAAGGCCAAACAGTTGAAAATGATGGGCTTCCAGAGACATCATTTTGAATGAACAGCTCCTTTTGCACTTCATTGTACTAAGGCAGGTACTTCAGAACAAAGTATTTCCCTGTTGCTCAGGTGTAGAACAAAGTATTTGCCTGCTCTTCAAATGTAGGGCGGTGGCTTTGTTTATTTCATCTCAATTTTTCACAAATTGTCATCAGATAATTTTGTTTTATTTGCACCACTTCACAGGAAACTCTACCTTGGAAGATAATCTGTTGCTCCAGTTTGCAACACCCTTCTCCCCATCAGATGTATGGCAGTGCTCTTGAGTAGCCTTGAATTCTTGCTCATACAGCAAAAGTGATTCTTGCTTTTACCAGCATTACCAATAGTAATGATAGAAAATAGTAGGAGAACAGGGCTTCTTATTTTTTGATAGCTTGACCAGCGTTGCACTTGAAATTACATTCTGTAACATACTTGAAATCTCTGTATTTATTCTGTAGGCTAAGTCATGTGAATTGCAGGGTAGCCCCTCTTAACAAGGCATGGTGGTAGCTGTGTTCTGGGAAGAAGCATCATTACAAATGCCATATAGTCAGTTTGTCTATCTACTAGTCTATTAATTCTTTTTGACACAGGTCTGTAATTCTAACTGTATACTGAAAAGTGTATACAAGAAAAACTTGAGTTAGGTTACCTAAAGGGACGCAAAAGTGAGTTAATACAAAAGTTGTTCTGTGAATCATAAATGCTGCGGGACAGTTTCTGGTCTTGTTCAAAGCCATTCTGCCCTGTATCAAACTTCTGTCACTGCCTTTCAGAGGACTGTTAAACTGATTGGTGTGTCTGTTCTAACTCCCATCACTGGCCTTATGTGAAAAAAATCCCAGGCTAAGCACAGCTCAGTACTTTTGCTGTTTAATTTTATTCTTCTGTTTCCAGCCTTAGAGTTGGAAGCATGATGGAGAAGTTTGTGTTCCTCTTATCACACAGCTGCTTCAGGAGCATTTCTGTAGCTTGCATTGGAACAGGGTTGTGCCTGAAATCCCGAAGTCAGAAGCTCAGTGTCAGTTCCTCTGGGCAAGTGACCTTTCAGCTTTTTACACTTCTCTGTCTTAAAAAAGAGAGAGAGAAGAAAAGGAAGAAGCTGATTTAATGCAGATAGCGTTTATAGACTAAGCTCTTATGATCTGTTTTTTATTGTTGATGTGGAGTTGTTTGTTAGGGTTTTTTTTGTTTGTTTTTTTTAAACAGTATGGCACAAAATGTAAGTGCTTCAAAATTCAATTTTTTTTGGCCTACGTTTCACTTGATTGTACTATATGTCAGCAGTTTGAAAATTAACATGTAGAGCCTCAGAATTCATGAAATAGAGTTATAGGTAAATGCTTTCCAAAATATTTCCTGACAGCTCAGTCTGAGGAAAGTAGATATAGAATGGCTGTCCAAAACTCTGCCTTTTTCATGAGAAGTCTGAAGAGGGAAGCAGAATCATGCATCTATTTAATTATGATGTTTTCATGTATTTTAGGAAGACATGTGAGTAAAATGTGTGGTGACAGAGAGCAGATTCCCCTAACTAGTGTTGTTCAAAGTTACATTTACAGCTCAAATGAAGCTGTGTATTTAGATTTCATGGGAGAAGCAACATAGGGAGAAAAGTACCTGGTAGCAAGTGCTGGTGTGGCAGGGAGTTTCTGAGACAATTCCTGTTAAAATCATGCATCTCTGCTTCTGTTCATTCATCTTTCAGAATCTTGTCCTCCAAGGAGATGACGTTCCTCTCCCAGTCTTTTACTTCAGTCTCTGTCAGCCATTTAATGCTGCTCCTTTTTTTATCCTTAAGAAGAGAGAAAATCTTTCATACTGAGTCGTTGCCAATCTGAGATCAAACAAATTCTAGCTGTATTTATTTTTAACAGTACAGCAAAACAATTCATTACATTCAATAGGTGGGGTGAATGAAACTTTATTTCACAGTCTTGTGTACAGGCAAACTTAGCGGAAGCAGATGTTCCCATACTCTGAAGTTAGGCCAAATAGACTAAGGGAAACTTCCTTGCAGGTACATGTGTCTGTTTTAACAAGAAAAGAAATAAAGAAATTGTCTGTCTGTTATTTCTTCCTTTTTTTTTTTTTTAATGGAAATAATTTCTGTTCCTTGCAGCAAAGCATCCTGTCAAAACTAGTTGAGTTCTTCAGAAGTTGGTTTCCCTTTCCACAATATAAGAAAAACGATGACATACTTCACCGATTGGTAAGAGATTTTTTTTTTTTTTTTCCTTTTTTAGAATTTCCTTTCCTAATCCACAGGTCTTTAGGCAATATTGTTTCAGGTTTTCAGAGGTAGGATACATGGCAAATTGGGCACTTGCACAATGAAGGAAAACTGCCAGCAGCCAGCTTGAATATATTGAGTATGGAAGAGATGGTCAGAAATGAAATAAGTTCTTGAAAGTGGGAAGGAATTAATTTGCATTAAAACTGCCCCATTCAGTGGAAGACACTGCAGAAACACTGAGAAAGTCCCTAAGTTGCCATCAGTGACTTGCAGACACAGCTCAAGATGAAAGCCTGTAGAGCATCATTTGATACTGCTTTGCCAAGCAGTGTGCTTGGACAACTCTACCACTCTTGGTCCTGTCCTGGGCTATGTGTTCTGTTTCTGCTCTGTTCTCCATAGTGCTTTTAGGAAAAGCAAAGTAAATTAATGCACCACCATGGAAATGTTGTGTTAGACTGTTCCGGAATCTAACAGAAGTTTGTTTTTTCTACTGTGATACCAGAATGAATCACTACATGTAACTTAGGGGAAAAAAAAGCATTCAGCTATATGAGAAGTTAGGAGTTTCCATTTCTAAGAGTTCATCTCATTGCTATCACTTTTCCGTCATCTTGAGAGTCAAGATCTCTGCAACATCTTGTTACTGATTATCCTTTTAATTCCCTTCCTCCTTGTTTCTCTTTGAATCAGAACTTTTGGCTTCACTGCTTTTCTAACCTTAATTTCTTGAGACAGAAATACAACCAAAGAGTATGGAAAATATGTTTCTTCTGCTGCCTGCTACTTTAGGATAACAAAATGACACGGGATATTTTGGAGGAGGGCATTTCCTCTTGAACACAACCCTAAAACTGTGTTTTTCAGTAAATGTAGAGTGCAAGTTGTCTGGATTAATATCACTGTAAAGAATTTAACCAGCTAGTTTGTGAAAGCCTGGGTTTTCATAAATAATCTAATTTGGTCAGTGCAGACTAAAAAGCTTCTGTAATGTGGAATGCCAAACTTCTGTTAACTTCTGTTAACTTCTGCTCTCCTTTCCTTCCTGTAATCTATGCAAAGATGCCACATTGAACATGTTTTGGGTTCTTCTTCTACAACATTCTCAATTGGAAGGGTTCTGTATTGATAGTTTGTTGCAGTATTTTGGCATAATTGTGACATGTTTCTAGATATCAATACTGTCTAGATCTGATCACAAAGTCAACATGATATACCCTGCAAGGCCGAAGTAATAGATAGAAAATGAATTTTTAAATTTAGAAAAGTGAGGTAGCCACTACTGAAATATTTCTGCAATCTTCAAGAAGAGTTTGCTGTCAGTGTAGTGTAGGGTGTCTGGATGTTTTCCTTGTTTTAAGAGTTTACTAAATTTGAAGAGTTTACGTGTTCTTTACTAACACTTGCTTTTTCTTCTGCTTATTTGTGGTAAGGATGTTGGATTTCGATTTGACACGCTCCGTACCATCCTGCAACAGGAAGTTCTGCTGCAGGAGGATGTGGAACTGATTGAGTTCCTTGACCCGAGTATCCTGTCTGCAGGGCAGTGTAAGCAACAGGAAAATGGACAGCTTCCAACACTACGCTCCCTAGCAACTCCTAATATTTGGTATTGTACAGAGAATATCTGTTACAGTATTCACTGTTAAACAACAAGAAATAAATATTGTATGTTCTTTACAAAAAATGCAGCAATATAGTAACTTTTTTTTTTTCAGATCTTTGAGTCTTTGTTCCGCTACTACTCATATATATGGATAAACATGTTTTTGTCTCAGGCATTTTATTGAAAGAGCAGTTTTAATCTGAGATAGATACATAGGCGTAAGTCAGTACTTACAAACCCTAACAGATGCCATGAATAAGAACTTAACATTGATGAATTAATGAATTTCAAAAGTCATGTGGGGGTGATTCTGATAAATTAGGCATAGTTGTGTAGACTGAATTGGAAGGTGTCTTTTTCACTGTGGCCTTTGTAAAGTATGTTAATTGTAAGGGTGAGCAATTACTTTTTGTGGGTTTAGAATACTAGAAGAAGAGACAAAAGAACATTTAAATGCAATGCACTGAAATTAGAAAAGGCTGGTGGAATTCATCCTGGAATACTGAAGGAGCTAGCTGCAACACTGTCTAAACAAATACCACCTGTATTTGAAAAATAGTGGGAATGGTGGATGGTCTGACAGACTGACTGACTGAGAAATGGGCAAGCATCAGTAAACAAGAACATCTTGTAGCACAGGCCAGTGTATATTCTCTTACATATGTTAGGATAGTATATGGAATTACTGTAAATTCTCAGCCAGTTAAAAAAGGAAGACAAATGTTTATGACATATTATATCATAATTGATATTCTTTGTCAAACAAGAACTTCTAAACCACCATTTCTGCAATGTTTTGTTTCTGGTCCTACTGCTATTCATTGTTTCTTAAACTGTTCAGATGACAAAGAACACTGACAAAATTTGGTAATACTGCTTACTTTATGTATGACACCACTTTTTAAGTGTTTTGGTAGATAGGAGTTCAAAAGTATCTTGACAAATTGCAGAAATATCTTGAAATCAGTAGAATAGTCAATAAAGACAAGTGTATAGTACTTCCCTTGGGAAGGAAAAATCAAATTAACCGCACAAAGCTGAACAGTTGGGTAGACAGTATTCCTTCACAGAAGGATCTTCATGTTGTTTCAGAGTGTAAGTTGAAAAAGTCAACAATGGAAAATCTCTTCTCACAATCCTTGTTATATACAACACAAAAGTTATATAACTTTTTCTCCCTGTTTTCCTGTGTCTCGACTCTGATTTTTGGTGCCATTTTTTGTGATGTACAGGTAATTAAGAAAAAGGTAAGTACAGGACAAGAAAAATAGTGAGTATAGAAAATGCATTCTTTTGGAAACATTTGAGGTAGGAAGGATTGTTTGGCCAGCATGGAGAAAACTTAGGTGGGATGAAACAGTCTCATGGGTAGTAAGGAAGCGATGTCAATGTGTGCAGAAAGGGAAAAGATACGAAGCAAAATAATTTGATTAATTTGCAGATGATTTAGACTGAATTTGGGGAAAATATTTGGAATTCTAGGGATACTTAGCAGTAGGGATAACTACATGGGTGCATTTTGGCATCGTCTTTATCTTCTTGGGTCTGTCATTGGTGATCTAGATAACCAGAAACTGGAAATCAGAAAAACTGGTCTCTTTGACCCCTTCCAGTCTTTCATTTTGGGGATTTTTGGAGCAGGATTTTTTTTTTTTTTTTCCCAAATATGCTAATAAAGTTATGGACTGTGTGTCCCTTCTTTAAAGTTATTTATGTACCTGTAATATTTTAATTCTGCACCTTTGCTGAAAACTATCACACTAGACTTAAAGAGTTAGCTTTTGTAAAGCTTATTGAAAAATTACTACAGAACTGTCCAGAAATTAGAAAATCCAGCACCATGCTTTATTTTAAGGGGGGAGAAAAATAATATTTTTATTTCAAAAACTCCAAAGATTGAAGTTTTTTATGTAGGTTGAAATGCATAGCCTGTCCATCTCTGTGAAGACTGACACAATTTTACAGAATTGCAGATAGAATACTAGACGTGAAACACAGTGTATTTTTTTAGGAGTTACTTGTAGTTTTTTTTTCTAGATGAAAATAACAGCCTTACGAGGTTTTGGAAATGTTCTTTAGAAATAACTGAACTGAGATACTAATTACTCTGTTTTTTTTACGATTTTCAGAGGCTGCCAAATCATCTAAAATAGTTTATCTATGTCATGAGAATGTGCTCAGAACTAGTTGTCTGTTGGTATCCAAGTTAAATGAGTCAAACTGCAAAAAACAAAGCTAGTGTTACATGAGGGTTTAGTTTCCAAAAAACCCGTGCCCTTTCCTAATGTACTTTTGAACCAGGAAATACGGATATTCCCATTCCTACCCATTCCAGCTTTTAATGCTGAGTAGTCAGATTGGGGTTTGGCTTCATGGATTTTGTTTTGTTTTAAAGTCATATAAAATAAAGTGGCCTTTTGAAGTGGTACATCTTTCTTCTGCTTTTGCCATTAAATAGCTGGATAAATATTTCTTTAGAGTATACCCAAGGTATAATATCATGTGTATGTACATTGAATCTGCAGCTTAATATTTTCTGGTGTCTACAGCTCACTTAAGAATCTGCATGTACTTCCTGCTTGTTTGACCTCAGGAGTCTGTGGTTGAAACTACTTTCTCTATTTGCAGGGATATCTCACTCTTGCTTGCCTTTGTAAGTGCCCTGCTTATGCTTCCTTCATGGTGGAAGGAGTCATCGTGGCTACCGTGGGGACTGGTTCTGCTTGTGTATGCAGTCTTTCGAGTGTGGGCCACATGGAGGACAGCCAAGCTGCAAATGTCCCTGCAGAAATACTGTACCCAGCTGGAAGAAACAGTAGCAAATAGTCGAGCTTTTACTAATCTTGTAAGGAAAGCTCTACGGCTCATTCAAGAGACTGAAGTAATTTCTAGAGGATTTACCCTGTGAGTCTACGTTTCACTTTAATGCACAGATCCGTTTAAGCCAGATGTGTTCTGACATAGTCTTGCTGTACTGTCTCCCATAACAAGTGAAACTGCTGAAAACCATGCTACTTAAAGTTTTTTGTTTATGTAAAATAGTGTAATTATCATAGCTGTGTTCACCAACATGCGAGTATGAATCCTAACAAGACATTGTTAAAACTATGCATCCTGAAGGAGTATTAAGTATCAGAAATCTTTACTGGACACCTATGCTTTTGAAAATCTCCTGGAGTCTTAGCAATGAAATACCCCCCAAAAAAGGACTTAAAACCTTATTTAGTTACTGTTTTGGGGGGTTATTTAGGTTGTTTGTTTCACAGTTTTTTGTACTTCATATTACCAAATCCATGTAACCAAACTGATCTGCAAGTAATCGTTCATATTTTAGAAAACAAGATTACTTCAAAATTATCAAATAATTATCTGAACTAATGAGAACAAATCAATTAGCAAGGCCTATTCAGAGGTCATTTTCAACCTCAGAAAATTACAATCCTTTGTTTCTTTTCTTGCATACAATTGTTAAGATGGTTAGAATTTTAAGTTATTTATTCCTGGATTTGCCTCTTGTCCACTTAAGGTATTAAAGTTCTCCTTGTTATTTAGCTCCTTGGATAACTTTGCTCTTATTATTTTGAAGGACATTAGAACATGTTCAGTGTGTGCAAGACCCACTCTCATTGCCATGTATGTCCTTTTCCCTTGTAGCAACCTATCTAGACATGTGCCTGAGTCAATTTGACTTGAAGTTAAAGAAGACAGGAAATGCCCACAGCTAAATGCTCTTGATTTCTTTCTAAAACCAATAAGAAGTTCCCCTGTGTGCAGCAAGAAATGGTTAATGCCAGACCAACTACTCAACTTGCAGGCTCTTGTTGTTACGTGCAAGCTTTAAACTGTGGAGTTTGCATTTTTAATTAATTTTTGAGTTTGAAATACCTTTAGTATACTTAGCTTTATTCTCCCTTGGGAATGCATAAGCATGTCTTCAGTCTGCCTAGCTGTGTTTTTTGTTTGTTGTGTTTTCTGAAGAAGTGTATAGTTAAGCAATAGACAGTCTTATCTTTGCAGATGAGTTCTTAAAAGAAATTATTATTAGGGCTTGTCCAAATAACAGATGAGAAAAGCATTTGGGTTTTTTCCTAAGTTTAAGCAAGTGAACTTGTGGTCAATGTTAAAAATTGCTCGTTTCTTGTTTTTTTTCTACATATCTTAGATAACAGATTAACAAAAAACAGACTGATCTTTAAACTAATGCTTGATCTCATAGCCCCTTTACTTAAAATTCTGGCAAGCTTTTCAAAAGATTTTGTAGTATGGATGGAGTGGGAGAATACTGTGTCAGCATTCTCATCAGAATCACCATCATTCATACTCAGTATGAAGAGGTTGGTTCATACAGGTTTTGGGTTGGTTTAGTCTGGAAGAAGTTTGTACTCAAGTGTTCCCTCAAGCACCCACATAAGAGATGCTGCTGCACAGAGCACGGTGAACTTCTTTGCTTGATGTTATGCTTTATGTGTGATCTAAAAAACTAGCTACCCCTTCTCTTGGTGAATCTTTGAGGAACCAAGTTTGGTATGTTCTCCAGTAGTAACCTTGTCAAAGTCTTAATGCTTCCTCAGGGATAGTCTTGAAGCAATAGGAATGGTTGCACCTGGAAAGTTAATGAGTATCTTCTTCTATTGTTTTATATCTTTAAAGGAATGGGATTTTAACTGGGTAGTGCAGCATCATCCTGTTGCATGATACGTATGCTGTTCTTTGAATATGCTGCAAGCCTAGCATAGTCTGGTCTGTGAATTTTGTTATGAATGAAAGATAATGGTGCTGACAAATAATACCGAGTCCAGATTTTGACTGACTGTCTTAGCATAACTCTGCAAGCCCAGGTCCTTGTGTTCTACAGCTGTTTTTTTTTCTCTCTATTGCACCATCCATTGCTGTGTTCTCATAGGCTAATTTACATAAACTTTATGGCTTTGCTTTATTCTACTCTCTATGCCCCCTTGTTAACTGATTTTTGGCTGTTTCTGAAAGTGTTAAATGATTCTTGATGAGATTTAGGTCAATTTCTCCATTGGTTCACTGGTTTACTACTGCATGGCAGTGACTGTTATATGTTCAATTGCTTCAAATGTTGTTTTGCCTTTGTTCCCATCCCACCTAAACAAACAAATCAAACAAAAAACCTCCACAGTAGCCATTTAAGAAAAAGAACAAAAAAAACCCAAACAACTAAGGATCCTGTCATGTCTTTCTTATATAATCTTCTCTTCAGAGGCCATTGAATATTCTGATTTCAGAATGGCCTTCAGAAGAGTTTAATACCTCTGTTGGCTTTTAAGCCCGCACAGTAAAAGCTCTGTGATGCAGAGATGCTCAAGATCTTGCCAATGTAATTTGGATTTCAGAAATTATGTAGCCAGTGTAGGAAAGGGCTCTGCTGAGGCAGAACAGCAGTATTTCTGTCTCTGTTGCAATTAGACAAATGAATCTTCATCACGAGTTGCAGGCTGGATTTTCTCCTGGCTAATGAAAGTATGTTCATTATTAAATTATAAAATGAGAACTGTAGGGATGTGCAGTGAAAGGCTGCAGCAATAAAAAGCAAGTAGTTATTTTCTTGTCTGTCCCTGATACGATTGACTTTATTCCAAAGTACTACCTTAATATAGTTTCAGCTAGAATCAAACTCTATGAGTATATGTTATTGTGTATAGCATCTCTGTAGAAGTTACTTTTGTGTTAGAGTACAATAATAGTTTTTTATTCAAGTGTATATGCAGGTTTGTTAAAGGAGAGATTCTATTTAAAACTTGATTTGTGAAATTAATGGCGAAATAAATAATAGCTCTTTACAAGGAAAATGGATATGGAGCTGCAGAGAAGAGGAAATTCACTTTTAACCTTTTTTAAAATTTTTGCTGTTTGTGGCTGATATCCAAAGCTGATAATATAGTGTAAGTTCAATTAAAGTATGTAGAAGATAAATGAAAACCTAGGAAGCTAGGGATATGGCATGTCTGTCACATGGAAATTTATAGCAAGTTATATTAACGTTACTGGAATAAAGAATTATTCCATTAAAAAAAAAAAAAACAACTGAAGCCTCCCAAGAAGCAATACAAATTGTTTTGTTGAATACTGGCAGTACTGCATGTACTGCATGAGTTGTGCTATACTTTTTCTGTGCAGAAGCTGAAAATGCTTGCGTTGCTGTAGCAGAACATAAATTTCTTTGTCTTTTTTACTAGAGAATAGTTTTTACTAGCAGAATAGCTTTACTCTTCTCTTTGGTCCTGCTTCTGACAGTTCACCCAGGGCTTGAATCTACAAAGTGATATAGGAGTTTGTCCTTGAACACTTCTAATTGTTCACAAGTTAGGAAAACATTAGAGATTGGCATGTCCTGAGTTACAGATACAAGATGAACTCATCACTTTGCTTTGAGTAAGGTGAGAGCAGTAGCAGGCTTCCAATCCCCTAACACTTTGTCAGTCTTGATGACTGCACCACCACCACGTCCATTCCCCATCTGGTTCTAGTAAACACAGTGCTGGAGAAGATGAACTGTCCACTTATGCCATTTTCAGTGTTGTAGCTATAGGTTTGGCATCAGATTATGTGTCTGAAGACTCTGTAGATATATTTACTCACTTCATAATCCAATTTATTTCCAGATTAGGCAATTTCTTACTGTTCTAAAGACATTTTGAAGTATAGGCTAGTAAGCAAATGGTGTCTTTTGAATTGTATATTCATCTGAACATATGGATACCAAAATGCATTTTCAAATATGCTTTATACAATTGCATACGTTTCATGTTACCTGTCTGACTTCCACAAAACACTGCTGTCATTCACTGCATGATTGATAAAAACTATTTCACCACTGAAGTAACATTTTTTTTGACCTAGAGAGTAATTTTGCAGGGAGTTTGACCAAAAATAGTGTATTGCATGAAAAACGGTGAATAGTAGCACATTTTTCCATGAAATGTATTTAAAGAGCAAATTTGCATGCGAAGAGGTAAATGTTAAGTATCTGCAAACTTACAATGGGTTTGTGGAAGTTTTATGGCAGATAATGTTGTGGCCTGCCTACATTTACTATGTTCTTTTGGAACACTTTGGAGAAGACAAATGTCCTCAGGAATTTTACTGTGGCTCAGGTGAGACTGGAATCAGGCTGCCTGCAGAGGAATCCTAGCTGCTTAACTGAATGTTTGACTGAATAATTCACTGATGTGATGAATTTCTTGTGTGTGTGTGCGTGTGAGGTAGTTACTGAGCAAAAAAAATTATTAAGTGATACAAAAAGAAAACTGATGTACTGTCTTTTAAAAATACTTTAGGACATCTGTACAGTTGTATCACATTTTACTTTTCAAGTTTGCTTGACAGGGTCAGTGCCGCTTGCCCACTTAATAAAGCTGGACAGCATCCTAGTCAGCATCTTATTGGTCTCCGGAAAGCCGTCTATCGATCTGTCAGAGCCAACTTCCGAGCTTCAAGACTGGCTACTCTGTACATGCTGAAAAAATATCCTTTTTGTAAAAACCCATCCATTCAAATATTCTATTAATACAGTTTTCTACCTGCATTCACGCCGATTTTTAGAGTTGGCATGACTAGAAGGATACAATATCTAAGTATATATCTAAACAAAAACTGAAGAAAATGTAGCATAGTCAGTTTTGTCTTATGCTTGATTTGGAACAGTCAACATATTTCTTTTTTTGCACTTTGCAGTGTGAGATAAGATCCTGTGCATTGAAAACATTGCCCCAGTTATTGATGGCCATGCCTTTGACGTATGTACTGTTTTATGATTATTCCTAAGCCATCTTTTTTCCTCACACACAAAAAAAAACCTTTCCTCAGAACAATATGCCCTTTCACTCCTCATCTCCGTGTTCAAAGATAAGTTGATTTCCTGTTTCAAACAAGCTGGGTGAAACTCTTATTACATTAATAAGCCAAAAGACACAGTTAAAAGTGAGGATTTTCTATTCCAAATCAAACTATGACACTTGCTTCACAAAATCAAATCTGAATCATCATCTGTATCTTCTCAGCAATTCTAGGTTTTTGTTGTAGCCTGTAGGAAATAGCAATGCTTTCAGACTGTATTGGAGCAAAAACAAAACCAAAAAACTGGTATGTTTCTGATATGAAAAACATTTGTGTCTGTCTTTGAAAGATTTTTAAAATGGAGGTTCAATTATAGCAAATTATCATGCAGATATCTTAGTAGTAATGCCAGCTGAAATAAATGGTCAAAAATAGATTGGAACTGTATGTCTATAAATTCTTGACGAACAAATAGAGAAGCATTATACAGAAGCATTCCATATGCAGAACGTAGTGGAATGTAGTAGAAAAGGTGTTTTGGTTTTTTGTTTGGCTTGGTTGTTTGTTTTTTGGTTGTTCTGTTTTTTGCTTTCTTTTTTTGTTTGAAATGCCTTCCAGTAGAAATTCAACATGTGAAATGTATCTTAGTCTCCAAGACAATAGCATCTAAATCTTCCCACCTAATATACTAAGGATCAAAGCTTAGTGATGGTAATGGTAATGTGTATCTCAAATGAGTAAGAGGGAGATCTGACTAATGAAGTTGTTACAGAGAATTAAAAATCTTCATTCACAGCTTTACTGTTTAAATACAGATATGTAATACAAATCACATAAACCTGACACGTTATCATTACTCACTTCAGTAAGACAAGAAGTTTGCCAGTGTTTGCTTGTGGTTGGTATGCCACTTTCTAACTCCCTTCAGTGAATTGAATAAATTAATATCTTCCTAATTAAAATTTGTTCCCAGGTAAAATAGAAAAATAAACTATAACGCTGTAGCTTAAATTAAGTGTTTTTGTTAAACTCAGTGGACCAGTAATATTTCATGAGATGGATTCTCTACGTTTCATGTGAAGTGACAGTTATTTACTTGCAGAAACTATTCAGCATTTTCTCATGTCATCCTCACTCTGATTTGTTCATATCAACAAGAGTGCATTGTTCAAAGTCATAGAAGAAAAAGCCATAGAGGAGAAAAAAGTATTTTTCCTTAAGTCTGGAAAACAAGGGTATAGTGGAATACAGTATCCTTATTTTAGCTTAAGCTAGATGTTGGGTTGGGTGTTTACAGGATATGATGCAGACCTGTCACTACTAGCGTAGGAAACCTCTGCATTGCACAGTTGTGTAATGATTTAGAGGTGATCAGGCACTGGCATAGGCTCCCCAGGGCACCAGGCTGCCAGAATTCAAGAAGTATTTGGACAACACTCTCAGTCAAAGGTTTAATTTCTGGGTGGTTCTCTGTGAAGCCAGGAGTTGGACTTGATGATCCTTTTGGGTCCCTTTCCACTTGAGGTATTCTGATTATTATATTTTTAAATTTAATTTTCTTTCATTATGATGAAGTAGTTGATAAAATACATTCTATGTATTTTAGATGCGCTGAGTTCCAGAAAATTTGCTCTTGTTACATCTAGTTAAATTTTGTTCTTTCTCCTTTGAAAAAGAAATTTAGTTAATCATGAAATATTAAAAAAACCACTTTTTCACTTAGGAAAGACAGCTAATACAAGAAAACCTTAATCTAAAAGTAAATAAATAAGTAGATGTACTCTGTCTGGGTTCTAAAAGCCTACATCAGAAGTCTGCTTCTGGAATATCTATGTAAAGGTGCTTGAGAATTTTTCAATTACATTTTTGTTGTTGACCAGCCAGTCATCACATGCTTTGCTCATCCCTTCCAGCAGGTTCCAGAATTTTATGAGACAATAGAGCATCTTGGATTTATTAGGAATACTCTGAGGCCTTGTTAGATCTTTAGATGGGAAGGTACTTCTGAAGAGCAAAGTACTACTATTAAATTGTTATATATGTGGGTGCATTAGTCCTTTTTCTTTTTTATAAGTATCATCATCCTCCAGGCAGAGGCTAGATATTCACTGTACATATAGTTTTTTCTGGATTTGACAGTTTATCATTTAGTATCTTTGCCTTCTCTTGCTCTAAGCTAATAAGTAAGTTAAACATGAGAAAAGTATTTTTGCAAAGGCAGGAGCGTTTAAATAAGGTACGTTTATTTACTGTACTTGCATCCCTTTAATTAATTTCACAATGTGATAAAAAAGACTTATATTTTAGATCAAAGAGCACTGAGGAAATGTCATTACATTTTTAACAAAAATTATTGGAAGGAAGAGGGCACGGCAGGAGATGGTGTGGGAGTTTAATGGGAATCCCTAGCTGAGACACACTGTGCTTAAGTGGCTCATTTGGTCAAACCATCTGTTTGAGAGATTCCCTGTAATTTTTTTATATGACTTAAAAATCCACATGTTCAAACTGCTTTTCTTGCTGCTGCAGAAAAAGATTAACACAGATTGTGGTTAGTCTCTAAGATAATTGGTCCTGAAGGTTTTGACCTGATTTTTCAGTCTCTGGTGGAGTTAATGTCCCTGTGCTCCATCTGCTGGACACACTTTCAGGTTAATTTAGGCTAGCTGACCCCGCTGACACTGTGTTTATGTGAAGCAGTAGATGCTGTGTTCCTGAGTCATTTGCATTGCAGATTTTCATCTGCATTCATGCTTCTGGAGAGCACTTCATAGGCATCTTTCTTCCTGGTCTTTGAGGAGAAATTAGGGGGAAATGTGTTTGTTCAGAGCCTGAGCACTTAGTATTGATGTTTTCCGAGCCACAGAAATTTCCCTTTCTGCAGTGTGCTCCTACTCAAGCGGTAAATGTTTTCTTGAGCACTATTGCAAGTGCAATCCTAAGAGAATTTAGCAGGTGGAAGATTTGGGAGTGAGAGCAAGTAGAACTTGTGGCTTTCCCAGAAAACATATGGATACGAGAGAAGTACTTCTAATGGCCTTTATGTGACCAGAGAGATGAAAATATTCGGTTTGTAAATCAAAACATAAATCTCCTCTCTGATCTCTGCTGAGGCTGACATGAGCTATTCATTGGGAATTTATTGATTAAGGATAATTTCCTCACTTGAAAGGAATGCTGAGATTTTGCATCAATGATCGCATTTGTTTCTTTCTAGGTGTTTGCATTTTTTAGACATAGAAGTTTATTTGGTGTTCTCTCTCTTATCCTTCTCTGAGCTTGTAAAACCTGTGCTGCGAAGAAAGATGGAAAGTTCAATTAAACAGGATTTGGATTCAACTAAACAGAGATTGTATGCCATTTTGTTAGGTGTTTTTTTTGTTTTGTTTTGTTTTGTTTTTTTGCCTTATTTGTTTAATGCATAAGTTGCTTTGTTAGCCACCTTAACTCTGGCTAAACCTACCCTCTGAACTCTGAGAGCGACAACGTGACCAGCTACATCTGTGTAGTCCCTTTTAAGGACCTGGGTCTGGGACTGAGCGAAGAACAGGTATCTGAAGAGGAGGCACACAATCTCACGGATGGGTTCAGCTTGCCTGCACTCAAGGTAATCGCTCTTAGAAAGACACACATTCATGCAGGCTCAGCATGAGAATCTGCTTCGGTTGTTGTGGAAGCCAATTGTCTTCTCTAAACAAAGAAAACTGCTCGTTTCATTTGAGGTGGAAGATCCTAAGAGTTAAGTTGTGGGTTTGCTTCTTCCCAGTTTGCCTAACCTCTTTCGTGCCATGTAAAATGTTGTGATTCGTGCCTTACAGCTCTTTAGTGACATTCATGAAATTTCTCACTTTGGCTGAAGAAAGGAGTTAAGTCAGCTTTTTCCAGAAGTACAATGTTTTTTGTTGAAGTAGAGTGCAATTAAGCTCCTGTTTCAAGATTGGTTGTGGGCCAATGCAGTAACTTTTAAGTGGATGGTAGAAATTATAGCTTAATGTTATAAAGGAAAAATTGCCTTTGCTGCCACTGGAATTCTGGCAGCTCTTTTTAAGCTGTAGGGTATTTGAAGATTATAGCAAATAATGAGACTGCCTAATGAGAATATGAAAATTGAGGTCTCCGACAAACTTTTGAGCATAATTGCATTTAATATACTTCATTGGTGAATTAATGGTTCATCTGAGGTTCACTAGATCTGAACCCACATGGTCAGAGATATCTTTCAAAAATACTCAGTGGATTTTCTTATTATTTCAGTGTTTCTACGGTAGGCTGAGGAGTGTTTTTGCATTCTGTATCTGCACCTTTATTTTGGAGGCTGGCTGTGTTCCAGGTGCACGGAGCTAACCTCACTCTGTTTTGCAGGTTCTCTTTCAGCTGTGGGTAGGACAGAGTTCAGAATTCTTCAGGAGACTGGTACTGCTCCTCTCCCCAGCCAATGCATCCCCCAAGCCCTTGATCTCCCCTGAACGGTTGCCTCATCATATCTTGTCTGATGTGACTCAAGGCCTACCTCATACACATGCTGCCTGCTTAGAGGAGCTCAAGAGAAGCTATGAGTTTTATCGGTACTTTGAAACTCAGCATCAGTCAGGTTTTGAACGACCAACCAGAACAAAACAGAAGTCAAGAGAGTTGAACAGCCTTCAAACAGCAGTACGCAGTTTGCAGCTTCATCTCAAGGCACTGCTGAATGAGTAAGTTTACACATGAATTAAGAGACTATGCCTGTGGGAAGAAGGCTTCAGACTCGAGTTCTTTGGGTTGTCAGTTTACTTTATCCCAGATTAGAAACAAAAAAAGCAGATACAGTCACTGCAAGTACATCATGCCTGTTCTGTTCCTAATTGATTTCACTGAAGGTGTCTGTTTCCAAGGTAACAGCTCTACTTTAAAGTAAAGTAGTAAACATGTTTTTTGAGGGTATAATTATCTGAAGAATGCTTCAGAGATTCTGCTTCCCTATTTACATTCTCACACTCTTCCCATTGCTGTGTCTGAACTCTTAGCTATCATCTAAGTATATCTTTATGTATAATGAGGTCAAAGATTCTTGGTTCAATGGGGAATCCAGTGTTGTTTCCTGATTATTTTTTTGATATCTAGTGAAAATTCAAAGCTAAGCAGTACTTTAATTCCTATCTTTGCTTTTGTCTAAAGAAATTGTGAAGTCAAATATTTATATGTGTTTATTTCTGTTCATTTTATTAGGGTAATAATTCTTGAGGATGAACTTGAAAAACTTGTTAGCACTAAGGAGACACCTGAATTAACAACAGAAGCCCACCAGGTTCTGGAAGAAAAACTAAAGTTTATTCAGCCTCATATGCAGGCAAGCAACAGCTGCTGGGAAGAAGCCATTTCTCAGGTAGAGAAAATGAGTGGAAGAAACCCAAATAAAAAAGGTAAATATGAGAGGTTAATTTAAGAACTGAAGGGATTCACTTTAGAGTTGGAATGGATCAAAAACTGCATTCAGCCTGTATTTCCTGAATTTTAGCTTTAAAAGCTTTAACAACCTTACTCTTTGAAAAGCTATCTATTTGTCAGACTTCTTTATTGAGATGGCCTTGAAGCTTTTGTTTCAGAAAAAAATATATTAAAAATAAAATGCTAACTTAGTCTATTAGGCATGTGGATTTGGATGGTACATTTACATTTCCAAGTGTAGCCCAGTAGTGGATTTTTCACTGTAATTGGTGAGCAGCATGTGAAGTGGTGGAATTTTGATGAAATATCTTTGAGGTTTTCTTTTATCTATTGCATAAATATTAGATAGGTAATTGAAATGACAATTACCTTTTCATGAAACTTCCTTGATAATGACATTTCCTGAAACATTTTAATTTGATGTATTGAGTTTATAACACCTGTTTACCTGCTCTCTCAGATATAGAGAGTGTTTAAAAGTGATGTGAACAGCACATGCCAAAGTTTTGCCTTAGTGAGCTCTACTGTCCATGCTGCTATCTTTGTGAATTGCATTTAGCTTAAGTAATTGAAGTGAGCTGAAACTCTCTTGACACAGAGTTGAACATAAAATTTCTGATCTTGTTTCCAGGAGCTTTTTTACTGGCCTAGGAAGGCACAGCCAACCGCCTGAATAATGCTGATAGCAATGGAGACTATATTAGGAAAATTATGATCTGGGATGTGTATCAGCAAGTTGCCTACAGAAATCCAAATCTGTAATGAGCTAGGCTCTTAATTATGTATGGGTGGGGTATCCAGAAGGTGGATGAATACTGCTGTGGTCCAAGAGATGTCCAGGCTGACATTGTTCATGTTCACATCAGAATTGGGAGCACTGGTGAATTCCATGTCTACAGGCTCCACACAGGTCCAGACATGGCATAACAAAGTTGCTGTTATTAACATATATTATGAGGCAAAATCATTAAAGAGCCTTCACTTTCAATTTTGTCCAGTGTCAAATGTGTGTGGTTTGAATTTCTATTTTGCAACAGGTTTACTGAATCACTCCCCAGAAACTACTTTTAAATTATGTTTAAACTATGTTATTTTTATCTGACTACATTTGAATTTCCTAATGTATTTCTGAGCAGTTCAGCTTCTGTGAGTTGAACTTTTCAAGCTGTGCATGAAATCATCTCATTACAGAATCGTAGAGGTTTCAAGAGACCTCAGGAGATCATCGAGTCCAACTCCTCTGCTAACTTGTAATCTCTTTGTATTCATCTTAACAGCTCATCTGTCAGTCATAATTATGTGAATTAATTCATTAAATTACATGTGGGGTTTTTTTTTTCAATACTTCCTGAAAACTCTTTGAAAGAAGATACCTTCCTGCTGAAATAATATAACAGCTAAGCACATCTTTATTTTGTCTTTATTCACCATTATGTAAAATCAAATGAATTTTTTGACAAAAGCTGTAGTTAAAAGCCTAACAGTACAACTTTGTGTCAAAGTGTTGAACAGTGTTTTTGGTGCAGTAGATGTTTAATTCAACTAACTAAAGAAAAGCTGTGGGAATATATCATCAATTATGAACAGTGATGAAGACGGAGCTGTTGTTAATGGCTTAGACCCAGTTTTGAAAGGAAATATTTCATAACTTAAAAGCTGTATATATTAAATATTTTTAGCAATAACTTTCAATTGTGCTTAGTATAACAAAGTCACTCCTTTTTACTTCATCTGTAAATGTAAAGCGTATCCAGTGTTTAAATTTACTTTTTCTTGAGTTTGATACTTACCCGAATGCTTTTGCTGAATTATTCACTGAAAGCATCCAGCCACTAAAGAACTGCTTTGTACTGTGGTCTGTCCTAGTTGTGACATCCTAGGCAGCTGCATAGCACATATTTCTCAAAGCGGTTTTCATAGAATCATAGAATAATTTGGATTGGAAAGGACCCTTATGCTCACCTAGTTCCAATCCCCCTGTTATAGGCAGGGACACATCCCTCTAGACCAGGTTGCTCAACATTCCATCCAGCCTGGCCTTGAATGCTTCCAGGGAGGGAGCATTCACAGTCTCTCTGGGCAACCTGTTCCAGTGTCTCACCACCCTCGCAGCAAGGAATTTCTTCCTGATTTGTAGTCCAAATCTATGCTCTTCCCATTTAAAACCATTTCCCCTCGTCCTGTCTCTACGTGCCCTTATAAAAAGTCTCTCCTCAGCTTTCCTGTAGGCTCCCTTCAGGTACTGGATGGCCACTATAAGGCCCCCCAGAGCCTTCTCCAGGCTGAAGAGCCCCAACTCTCTCAGCCTGTCCCTGTAGGGGAAGTGCTCCAGCATTCTGATGATCTTTGTGGTCCTCCTCTGGACCCACATCAACTGTTCAGTGTCCTTCTCTTATTGGGGGCCCCAGAACTGGACATAATACTCCAGATGGGGTCACACAAGAGTAGAATAGAGGGACAGAATCACCTCCCTCAGCCTGCTGGTCATGCTTCTCTTGATGTGACCTAGGAAATGGTTGGTTTTCTGGGCTGTGAGCATTCATTGTCAGCTCATGTTGAGTCTTTCATCAACCGACACCCCCAAATCCTTCTCCTCAGGCTTCCATCAAGCCATTCTCTGCCTAACCTGTATCTGTGCTTGGGATTGCCCCGACTCAGGTGCAGGAACTTGCACTTGGCTTTGGTGAACTCCATGAGGTTGACATGTACCCACCTTGAGCCTGTCCAGGTCCCTCTGGATGATATCCCTTCCCTCTACTAGCATGTCAACTGCACCACTCAGCCTGGTGTCATCTGCAAACTTGCTGAAGGTGCACTCAATCTCACTGTCCATATCGCCTACAAAGATGTTACATAGCACCGATCCCTGAGGAATGCCACTCATCACCAGTCTCCAGTTTCAGGAAATGTCACTTGGACATTGAGCCATTGACCACAACTCTCTGGGTGCGACCATTCAGCCAATTCCTTATTCAGTGAGTGGTCCATCCATCAAATCCATTTTTCTCCAATTTGGTGACTTGGATGTTGTGCGGGACAGCGTCCATGTTTTGCATGTCTTTGTTTTCTCTATAAGCATATGGATCTTAATTGCATACTTACTGCTTAAAGTTTTTGCATGTCAAAGCATGTTTATTGCAAATATATTAAAAAGCTCAGCTTGTTAAACTCAAATCAAAAGACTTTAGGTCTAACCAACTGAACATTCAAATACTCCCATAGGACCATAGTACCCTGCTGCAAGCTCCTGGTCTTGCAGTCCTTTGATCCACCAGAGAGGAGCTAAAGTCACAGCAACTTTAGTGAAAACACTGAATTTGTGCTCTTGAAGCATCTCCTTAGCAACGTTATCACCCCAAACAGATGGCAAATGGAGCAGCCTGTACATATTAGTGCAGCTGTTTTGTTCTTCTAATTCAGGAAACCCAGGTTTTCATTGATAAATTCCATATTACACTTCCAAATTTGTTTTCATACCTTCAGCAGCATATTTTTTTAAAATGTTTTTATTCGAAGATGCAATTGTGCAGTGGACATCAATTTTCCACTTGTGTCAGGTTTCACTTCTTGCTTCACCTTTCCTTTAAAATTATCATTTTGCATTTAAATACATCTAGAACATCAAATCTTTAACTCAGCCCAAGCAAACAGGGAATCACATGTTTTTCCTTGTTTGCAAAAGCAGGTAACTGAGCATTATTAGAGTCATTGTCAGTGTGAACTGTCTACCTTAGGAGTACTATCTCTATGTATTCAGTGTATAGATTAAAAATTGAAAATAAAGATGAGTGGGGCTTGTCAAGTTTGTCTTGCCCATTTCTCTTCTCACTGGCAAATTTGTACTTTTGCCATATGTAAATGTTGTTTACCTGCTCTTAAGAACATCTGCATAGAGATATTTTACAGTATTTCCAGGCATCTATTCCAGCACTTAAATCTCATTTATCAGTAGAATGCTATTTCTGATATTCAATATAAACAGCTCTTGCTGCAATTTAAAAAAACAAAAGAAGTGCTTTTGACCACCCACAGTGGAAATCCATTTCCTCCTTATAGCCTTCTCTTACATTTTTTAAGACAGCTAATAACATTTCTCTCTTCTCTGCATAACCCCATATCCTTTGAATCTTCTATAATGGCTATACTTTATTTAGCCCTCTGATCATTTCCATTATTTTTTCTCTGGACACCCTTTAGCTGGTCTGCAGTATCATTGAATGGAGGAATCCAGCCTGAGCACTATGTTCCGTCCACAGCCTGATCAGTGCCAAGCAGAGCAGAAAAGTAATTTCCTGTGTCTAACAATCTGTGCTACTGTTTATATGTAGTCTGGCTTCTTTCTTACAGCAGGGTATAATTGACTGGCCTCCTCAGATCCTTTTCTCCGTGGTGTTGCCCAGTCAAACAACATATATTTATGCCGTTGACTATTCAAAAGTACAAAATGTCACGGTTGCTGTCACTGAACTGCTGTATCTGAAGTTCAATTCTTCCTGGGGCATCTCTGATTTTCCAGTAGTCTTTTTTTTTTAATTCTACTTTTCAATATCCTTGCAGATTATCACAATGTCAGCAGATCTAATGAGCTTAAATACTTTCTTTTTTTTTTTTTTTTTTCATTCAATGGAAATACTGAAGAGCATTGGACTTGGGAAAAAATCCTCACTAAATGTATTGTTTCTGTCTAAAAATGGTAACTATACTGTTTATGCAAGAAAGCATTTGATGCACCTGATAGCAACTTCTTCTAGCCTGTGTCATAACACGAGTGAGTCAAAAATATCATTGAACACTCAGAATTCTTTTTTTTCTTTATCCCTTTTTTTCCTTTTCCCTGAAGGCAAGCTTGAAGCTTCCTGTGATAACCTACAGCGTACTTCAGTACCTTTAATACAGCCTACTGTGTACATAGAAGACAGAGATCCCATCCCCGAAGAACAGGTAAAAAAAATAGGGTCATTCAAATTAAAAAATGGGCTTTGTTCCTCTTTCAGTTGCTTGTGCAGTGAGCTTCTCATCTTGTCAAAGCAAGCCAAGTTGGTATCAGGAGCTATTTCATAAGGGGACTTGTAAGAAAGGAAAAAAATTGATATGTTTTCCTTCTGCTGTGTTTCATTGGAAGGTATTCCCCATTCTTGGGGAATACTTCTAGATGAAAGTAAATCTTAGGTGTCTGCAATAATGCTAACTTTGCATTGAGTGGACTTAAGAATGTCAGATCCACTGGCTCTGATAAGGCTCCATCCTTCTACTGTAGTTGACTTGTGTTGAGATCACTTGATCATGTGTTAGCTTCTAGAATAAGGTCTACACTGAAAGTGAAAAATGTAAAATGTTTCTTTTCTTTCTTCAGGAATTGGAAGCCTATGTTGATTATTCTGACATGGACAATGAATATAATAGGGAAACTTTTGACTGCTTTTCCCAGGAAGAGAGAGAGAGACAAAAACGAGAGAGAGAGGAATCTAAAAGGGTGTTACAAGAATTGAAATCTGTACTGGGATTTAAAGCTTCAGAAGCAGAAAGGCAAAAATGGAAACAACTCCTATTCAGTGACCATGGTAAGCATTGCTTTTGAAAATTAATCCCTGTCTCAGAAAGATTAGGTGTCTGTTTACCATTAAGTTCTGACTGTCATAGAATTTAAATAGTGCTCAACAATGGCAGTGTCTTTGACAGCACTGTGTGACTTCATTTTTTTTATTCCGTCTCTTTAAATTTTTGTAGCAATCATTTGGCTCCAAACAATAATATTGAGCCAAAGTATTAGGTACACAAAACATGAAGCGTGGCATAAAGAGAACTGTCAGGCTATAATCCTTGCAAAATGCACTGACTTTCTCTCATTGCTTTCTCGTAGATATGAATTTTAATCGGGGTTCATAAATAAATATTTTTCAGAATTTAAAGCAACCATCAGAATTTATCCCAGACGAACAAAAATTGAGAGATTAAAGTGAAGAGTTGAACTTTGAAATAATTAAAGATTCATAAAAGACTAAGACAAGCTTTTGTTTCTGTGAGAGAGGAAGCACACAATATATTTTGTAAAAAAAAAACCAAAAGAACAAAAAAGCCTAAGAGGGAGGAGTTCTTTCAAACAAGCCTTTACTAATTCTGGGGACTGCTTGTAGCTGTAGCCACTTGAACCTGAAAGCAAGAGTATGAAAATTTACTTTGCCTAAGCAAGACAGTCTCAGTTCCACCAATTCTGGATACAGCTTGACTGCTTTTGCTGGTTGAGCTGTTTGATTTATAATCTTTAATATAGGGAGTGATTTGTATTTTCTTCTTTCCATTCGTTTTCCCATTTTCATTCCTTCCTCTTCAGGACAGGTTAGAAGGATCACTCTGAAAATTGTCATATTTTAGCTTATGAAAAACAACCTTCAAGTTTGGCAGCATATCCAAGAATTCTGCCTCTGCAGTTTTTGCCAGAACAGCCATCGATTGCATCTCTCAATAATTTAGTGGGAACACACAGTAACAGACCAGACGTATTTATGAGATGGTTTCTATTGATATCAAACCCACAAAAATACCTGAGCATCACAACTTTTTTAGTTATGTCCACTTAGCTATAACTATGTTAAAAGCAATCTCCCAGCTGTTGGTATTGGCTGCTCTTCTCTTCTAGATGAGTTAAAAAACAAACATATCAAATTGCATCAGAGGCTACTCAAGAGTAGGATTTCTGTATTATCCTTCTGATGTTAGATGGGATACCACACAACTTCCCAGAGGAAGCAGAAGGGAGAAATCTTACCCTTGCTTCAAGTCTTCATGAATATAGTGACTGTTACAGAAAGGCTTCTTTGTCAAGAGAGCTCGCATAGGAAATTTCCTTACTTAACCTAGCAGCTGATGCCTATCCACATTAGTATCTCTTTAGGTCATTTGTGATTATAGCTTTCTAGAAATTAATGGACTGGCTTAGCTGAACAGCTGTAACAGCTGTAGGAGGAGTCAGCTAACTCCTGTAATCTTGAGTAACCATCCCATTGTAAGCCTTTGTGGCTCATGCTAGTTCCTTTCCTTTTCACGTATAGATATTACTTTTTTTTTAGGATTAGAAAGTCTATAACGGGAAGTGAGGAAAGTGTCATTTCTTTCATCTGCTTAGGATTTATCACAGATTCCTTCTAAACAGTACAAAAGTTAAATATATGAGGATGGTTTATGAAAATAATTAATATTGTCTCCTTTTAGCTCTGAAACTAATATGCAGTTGTTTTGGGGGGAAAAAAAAAGACCCTGGGAGATGCTGAGGCTTTAATCAAGGCACCTAGCAAGCCACTTATTAAGGTTTTTGGTTCACAGATGGGAGAGGCTGGTTTCTATATAAAAGAGGCCAGCTCCCAGCACGTTGATATGCCCAAAGAGCACATCACGAGGTCAGCTGCTCAGTAATTGAAATGAGTCTGGTCCAGTGCTCCTTCAGTATGTGAATTTTTAAAACAAACAATAGAATACAAATTCTAATCTATAGCCTTTGCGTGGTAGTGAAAATAATTATCCATGTGACAACTGTAGTGATACGCCTACCTTCAACTAGCTAAAATAAATGTGACTGCAATAGGATGCAATGGAAAAAATCCTAATACCATACATTTTGTTTCCCATGAAAAGTTTCCTTATTTCCCAGAGTTATTTTCATCTCTGCTTACAGGGGTAAAGTCAGAATGGAATTAGAAAGGGAAATGCTACTTGGGAATCTGCTGTTGCCGCTCATTTATGTTCGTGCTGCTACTCTAATGGAGCTACTGCAGTTTAGGGAATCTGTTACTTGGAAATGGACATTGTATCGTTTATCTTAAAAAAGAGAGACATCTGTTCTTCAAGAAGTGATTGTACCAAGTTATACTAACCCTTAACACTGGGAGGAGAGACTTCCTGGCAAGCATCCCGTTGCTGGCAATGGGACTCGCTGCTGCTACTAACTTCAAGAGAGGCTAAATTAAACCACACTTAATTTGTGAGGACATCTTACCTGGCTGTATGAATACGTGTTGTGTTTATATGTTGTGATGTGAGATCAGATATTGCGTGTAAGGACTTTATTTCTGTACCAGTTGTCTTTATTGGATTAGGTAAACCGTTGTCAAAACAAAGACAGTTCAAATCTGTATCCAGTGCAGAAGTTTTACCTGTTTTTAACTTGATCATGGAATGCATCATCCACGCTCAATGCCATTGTTAAAAATCACTTTTGTGCCATCTTTTTATATCAAACATTTTAAAACTTAGTTCTAACGAGCAGTTATCACATTTCACCTCTGTGGCTAGAAAACACCAATTTGTTTTAGGTTTTCTTTGATTTTTTTTTTCATTGCTGTTGTTGGTTGTTGTTGTTACTGTTTTGTTTAGTTTGGTTTTTAATCCATTTTGACACTTCCAATCTTGCATCTTTTCAGACACAAATATTATTTATGCATAGCAGCTTGCTTTCAGTTATCAATTCATTTTTTCCCCTTTTTAAGCTGCAGTGAAACCCTTGTCTCCTGTAGAGTCATTGAAGCTCCTAAATAATTTGGAATCACACATGAATTCAAATACAGAAAAGCAGGACTGCAGCCAAAGTTGTGATAAATCTGAAGAAAGCGATTCTAATTCGGAAGTGAATGCTGCTGATAAAAGCAGGACAGAATATTTGTACGAAGATCCTGAGATGGAGAGAAACAAAGACAGTCTTACTGAAGAAGGTATTTCTACAGAGGCTGAAGAGATAATGTGCTATCAGTATGAAGGGGAAGTTGAAGATCTCAAGCCAAGCGATACAGATAGAGTAGAAGTTTCACAGCCTCCCTCTGTGGATGCACTGCATTCAAAAATAAAGCATAGGCTGGCTCAGCTTCACGTATCAACAGATTTTAACTTCACATCTGGTCTGGCTGCACAAGCTGCTGCCAGGTCTTTCTCTTTTACTACAATGCAGGAACAGACTTTTGGAGATGATGATGATGAGGATGAAGAGGAGGAGAAGGAGGAAGGGAAGGGGCAAGAACATGAAGACCTGATGGAAGATTTTGAGAATGAAGGTAGTGGCTCTGAGAGTGAAGGAAAAGTACAAGTCTGATCTGAACTTTTAAAAACCAACAACAGACAATTTGGTAGGAAAAAAGGAAAACAAAAAAACTAATGTGGGGGTTTGAAGTTAAAAATGCTGAATGAAAAAAAAAAAAAATTGGGAGATCTAAATGTAATACGTCTTGTTCCCTGAGTCTGAGACACTAAATGGGACTTCTGAGTATGTGGAAAATTTGCAGGTAAGACAACTTTAAGCTGCAACCACTAAGCAGTTGGCTGTTGCCTTTTTAAGATCTTAGTGATGAATTTTGGAGATTACCTTCGTGTTTTCTGGTTTATTTATTTATATCATGAAGTGCTGTTGTTGTTTTTCTAAAAAGAATGAAAAACAATGTATTGAATTACATCAGACTGTCTTCTGCTTTCTGATTTTGTTATCTTGGAATCAAACATTAGTTCCAATAAAAAAAAACAGGGCATTTGTTTTGGAAGAATCTGAACTGTTCCCTGTGATCTTCCTCCACCACTGCTCTTGTCCACAGTGAGTTGGCTGAGCCACTGTAGACACTGGTGAATCTGTGGCTTGTGATGCTCCTGGCTAAAACATAGTCTTAAGTAAAAACTTCAAAGGTCTTGTATTTTATGTATCCTGGGGCATGGGACTGAAATACATGAAGTTGGTCGTACTTCATGTTAAGGTTTATATAGAATTTTATGAAAGGTTAATAAATGATTCATAAATGTTGTAATTCATCTTAGAGAAATGTGTAGTATGCGTTAGGGAGGATTTTGAGGTAATCAATATAAGGTACTGTAGAAAAGTAGAAGCAATTTGTTGGATTGATAATAGGTGAGAATTAAATAGCTATTTAGTAAAATAGCTATTAATCCTTTGTTAACCTTTTATAAATTGAGCCTTAATATAATGTTTGATTTGTATACTATTGTTTGTCCAGAAGAAAAATTATCTGACAACTTACACAGTATTTTCCTTAAATGATGCATTTGCTTTTCCCTAATGTTCTTTCATTTTTCTCTTAGATAACAACTGTGTGATTAAGATCTGTGAGAGAACAAGAATTAACTATTTTCTAAGGCCTATCTTGTAACTTAGCTGACATCTAAACATCACTGTCCATTTAGATGTTGTGCTAAGGGATGTGGTTTAGTGGGGAAGTATTGGTGGTGGGTGGATGGTTGGACTTGGATGATCTTGGAAGTCTTTTCCAACGTTGGTGATTCTATTTGAGATTATGTACGTTGTTGTTTTTCTGCAGTGGTGTTAGGAAAAGCAGCAAGCTGATATGGCAATGGTCACTTCACCGAGGAGCCGGTTAATGGTTTTCCTGCCTTCTCTTCCTTTTGCTCTCAGATGCAAAATGAAGTGAAGGACTCGTGTCTCTGATGGTGTAAACAGCCTCTTAGTGTGGATGTGGATAAACTTGCAGTCACACAATGCCTCAGCAGTTACTTGTTAATGGTCTCTTAAGGCTTGCTGATTTTTTAGAATAGAGGGTGTGGAGATACAAGTGGTTCAGAGCAGTATCTTTCCTAGGGTGCTGTCTTGAGGAGTGGGGAAGCTAACAAAGATCAGCAGGTCAGGATGGGACTCTTGATCACATATCAAGAAATGTGCTTTCTTTCAACCACACTCTCCATTTGCTAGTAATTTTGTGTGAATGCTACAAATATGTACGTTTTATCCATAGTTCCTATAGAGTTGAATATCAATTTATAGAGAAGGTTGTATGTGATTTCACAATATAATGTCTGTCTTCTCCCTCACAGACAAAAAAGAATGTTTTGATGTACTTCACTAACCAGTAACACTGGATTTTGTACTCCGAAGTATGTGCGAGTGGATGGGTGAGTGGAAGTAGGAGTGGGATTAGGGAAGATGCTAATACATCCAGAAGCTAAGCCTCCTCTAAGTGGCAGGATATATTCTTCTCTAGACCCATAAAGGTTAGAATAAGTTGATGAAAGACTATTTTATTTTCTTTGTGGTAAGCAATCGAGTCTAGAACAACTGTTTTGGTTAAGTGGTGTTTGAAGCAATGCCCATGCTTCTGAAAAATAAGTCTTCCTCATCCTTGACTTGAGATCCTTGATCCTTCACTAAGTGCCCAGATGTTTTTTGTTCCTAGCTAATTGTTCTGACTGCCTAACTGTGTGTTCCATTAATGCTTTTCCACAAGGTCACCTACCAATATCTTACTATCTGGTACTGTGTATCCCAAAACTAATTCTTTTTTCACCTAAACTTAGTTCACAGTGTAGATGGCTGTGATACCAACTTGGAGAAATAATCAAATTTAGAATATGAGTTATAACTCTTTTCAGTTTTGGATAAAATCAGTAGGCACATGAGTTCTTTGCAATGCTACTAAAATAGATTTCAGATTTTACATCTGTGAGACTTGCTAGTTCTTCATTCCTTTGCAGTCCTTAGTAAAAGAAGGAAAATAGACCTTGCCAGCTCATCTGGGGCCTAGCTTTATAATATGCTGCTCTTGGTGATGAAACTGGCCTCCTAAGAAACCCCATCTACCTTTAGTTGTTCACTTTCACCCATCAGATGGGTTCAACACAAGTTTTTGTGCCTGTGTTATTAATCAGCCTACTTAGTCAACTTGGTCCAAAAAAACCTAGCCTTTTTAGAGTTTACTTTTACGTTGCTTATTCCAGTGATGCAGTTTACAGCATTGACCCCCAGACAGCTGTATTGGCATATGCTGTGTTACTTGCAAGAGGCTCAGGATTGTTCACATTTATGTTACTGGCAGAGACTATGTACTGTGAAATTACACTTCAACGTTAGATATGAGTATGCTGAAAGTATGACCTTTTGGAGCAAACTGTGATTTCTACTCGGACGAATATATTTTCTGCAAGAAAATTAATTGATTTGTATGGTCTTACTTAGTGCAGTCTTAGAAGTTGTATAAATGAATGTCTGTGCTCACTTGCTTTCTCTCCCCATAATCGCATTATATGTAACTGCCATCAGGTCATTTATTTTAATTTACTGAATATACTCCCTGCATAAAAATTTGGCTAACAATCTACGGCTTACAAAGCATGGCTTCCTTTTATTTCATAACTCGGTTCTGTCTACATATAGTCTGTTATGATCCAGAGTCCCTCATGGTAATGTCATCTGACAGGACTGTGTGTACACGCTGTAGATTCCTTTAAGAACCTGACAGGTTATTTTTGTAGTCTTTATTTATTGGTGCATTTAAAATAATGTGTAAACACACTGAACCATGTATTAGAGCTAAAGAGTTGTGTTAATATATTGGGCATGTCAAGGTCTAAGTGCTGTTCCGTGTTCTTTGGCTCATGAGAGTAGGTAGGGATTTTTGTAAAAACAGAACATTTATTTCTTAGAGCTTTGTAACTTTCTGTAATATGTTAATCAGGAAATCCACACTAAATAATGAAGCAAGCCAAAGGATATCACAGCCAAAATTCTTTGTGAAGAACAGAGCTAACAATAACTGTGTATTCTATTCCCAGTTAGGAGCTTTGTGAAGTTGTAAAGAAACCAGCAATGACATAAAATTAAATAATTTCTTTTTTTCCCATCTATCTGGAAGGCATTCCAAAGATGGTATTTGCTTCTTAGGTTGGATTTCAATCTACCACTACATCTTTTATGTAGCATAATTTTACAGCTAAAGATACAGGTAGGAAGTAAATACTTAAATGGGGACAAAGATCTATAATAAAGACGGTAGTGATTCTTTTTTTAGTGTATATCTTCGTGACATAAAATTAACATTGATGTAATGGAAGCATATATTGAGAATTACGGACAATACAGACTCTTTCAGATGGAGTGGAATGTGCCTGTGTCAATTGTAAGCAAGACTGGCAAACGTGAGAGGTCTTCTGGTTGCACTAACAGGGCAATTTTACTCCTGACAGAGGGTTCCTAGATATCACTGAGCTTTGCATTTTGTTATAAAACCTCAAGATGACATTTGGAAGGGTGGCCATTTTTAACGACATTTCAGAATTTGTTCTGAGTGCATTTATGTTTACAGCACTGGAAATTTTATGTGCATCTGAACAGCAGAATTTGCAATTGTCTTACTAATTTCTCTGCTGGTTTAAAAAATAAGAATAAACGGTGGACTGTGTAGAGTCAGTGGCCTACGCTGAACTTTGTAATCTTGTTGTCTGCCTTCTTTTTCAAACAAGAATAAGGGCTCGAGTATACTAAGCTGGCCTTCTTTTAAAGTGTTTAGTGAAGGGCTGCTCTGCAAGTGACTTGTTCCCATGGTTAACTACTCTTTAGAATGAAGAATTATTTTCGTAAGACAAAAGGGGTTTTTTTGTAGTCTTATCTGAAAAAAATGAGCAGAGTATGAGAAAGGCACTTGGTCAGTGCAGAGGGTTTGGCCACTCTCATATCTCATCTGTGGCAGGGACTAATAGCAGATGCTGAGAGAAGGCTAGGAAAAAGAGAGCTTATGTAGTGATGAGCTGCTTCCCAACTATTTGGGTCTCAGGGAGTTCTTGAGCCAGTGGGAGTAGCCGTCAGCTTAACAGCTTACGATGGAATTTTCTTCCAAACAATTGAACAAATTTGCTCAGGCTCACGTTTGGTTGATTATTACTAGTTCCAATGCCATGATGTGCTCATCTTTTTATGGTCTTCTACGAGCTAGAAGATTTGTCATTATTATGTTTGTTTGTTTTTTAGTTGAGCAAGCCCACTTATGTTGGCTCATCCACAGAGGTCACGTTTTCCACATTTTGATTGCTTTCCTTAGAAATCTGTCCTGTGCTTTGATGTATAAGTACTTTGATGCCAAAGTATGCTACAGTACTCCAGATGTAACCTCAGCAGTGCTGAGTATGGAGTAAAAATCACTCCCATAAAACACAGAACCATTAAAGTAGTTCTGAGTCCATCTAGGAACAAAATCTTCTCAGATCTTTTATCCCTAGATACTGTGATGATAAATGAAAATATTTGGTCTGATGGAGGAAAAATATTTATTCACTCTCAGCAGGATTTGGTTGGACAGCGTTTTCCTTTGCTAACAAAACAAGGAGTTGTTAAATCAAAATGATTTTCCAACAGCTGCCACCTGGTCTAACACAAACTAAAGATGCCAAACAACACTTGTTTAAATCTCAGCTTGATTTTTCAGAGCTATTCTGATCTCTGATGAGTAGGCATGTATGACAAAATACATTATCACACAAAAATGTGATGGAGAATATGTAGGTATCAGAGATCAAATTGAAGGCTTCTGACTCATTTTTGCAAACTGCTTGGAGGTGTGCTTTATTCTCATTACATTTAATTCTTTAATCTGTGTGCTTTTATTCTACCACCTTGAATTCTAAATGCCAAAAAATATGTAATTTGATGTATTTGACTTGGAAATTTTGTGCAGCAGCCAAGTAAGTGGTAATGGAACTATGAGGATAAGGCATGACCATACGTAGGGTTAAATCTACCTTCCATGATTTTTTTCTTTGTGTACAGATAAAACAATACAGTTTGAGCTACAGCTACTCAGTATGTAACTGTTTTAGATTGTCTGCCTAACGTGTCACACTGCCAACTCTTAAGTCATTGGCAGGTTTGTAGGAATAAAATTTGATCCGATATCTTACACGCTCTGTTAGCCCATTTCACACTTTATGAAATTACTACAGGATTTTGAAGCAGTAGCTGTAATTTAGTAGAAGAAAAAGGCTTGTTCCTCCGTTACAAAGTGGCTTATTTTAAAAGGGTTGAATTGGACCAAAACATGAATACTTTTATGCAATCAGCATATTTTGACCTTTATACCTGCTCAGATTTAAATTTCAAAGGCTTCACAGACAATCTGCTTTAGGGGACGCTGTTCTGTGGCGGTTGAAACCAATCTAGGCCCAGGCTGCCATGGTCTTGGCATGGCTGTGATCTCAGTGCCTCCTTTAGTCTGGCTTTTGCAACCACTCGCATGTCTAGGAGCCCGGCCTGGCTGGAAATGTACTGCAGCTTTAGCTTTTAGTATGGCTGGATCTCTCAGCGAATTCACTGTGTGGTTGAAAGAGCACCAGTAGCATCTCAGGGGAGCTGGAAGGAATACACGCCTTGGCAATGAGGAGGAATGCCGTAGCTCAAATTTAAATCGGTGTTTATGTGCCATGGATTACATCATTAGTGTCTGTACTGAGGTGGGAAAAACTCAGCTCCTTGTGTTACTTCATCTCCATATTTTCTGTTGATTGAGGACGATGTCACTCATTAATTTCCTCACTTCTTTTGACTGCTCTTTATTTTGTTCTTCAGGCCTAGGCTACCCAACACGACCCCATAGGACCTCTAAGAACTGCTTATTTTTGCCAGTAAAATTAAAATTGTCATCTGAGACTTTTTCTTTTTTGCTTACTATTTTCACCTTCCTGATCCTTGTGACACCTATAGTCCTTCCCTATACCACCATTCTTAAAAGTTTGAGATTTTAAAATATAAAAAATCTTTTGTGTGAGTATTTGTAACACAGCTTGTTTCCTCAGCATTGGAATGTCCAGAGGAGGGCCACTAAGATGATCAGAGGGCTGGAGCAGCTCTCCTGTGAAGAAAGATTGAAGGAACTGGGCTTGTTTAGCTTGGAGAAGACTCCAGGGAGACCTCACTGTGGCCTTCCAGTCTTGAAGGGAGCATATAAACAGGAGGGGGAACGGCTGTTTACAAGGGTGGATGGTGATAGGATAAGGGGGAATGGTCTTAAACTGAGACAGGGGAGGTTTAGGTTGGATATTAGGAGGAAGTTTTTCACAAGGTGTTGACACACTGGAACAGGTTGCCCAAAGAGGTTGTGGATGCCCCATCCCTGGAGGCATTCAAGGCCTCTGGGCAGCCTGGTCTGGTGGTTGATGACCCTGCCCATGGCAGCAAGATTGAAACTAGGTGATCACTGTGGTCCTTTTCAACCCAGGCCATTCTATTGTTCTATGATTATGACTAGGTCTAGAAGTGCATGCTGACTTTCCCAGCTGACTTGAGAACTGATCAGAAGATGGGACACCCTAATGGGGAGTACTACAGTCAAAACGGAAATAACGATATATAACAAAGTCAGTATACACTGAAAGGCTTTTATATGTAATTCTGCCTCGCTGAAAAACACCAGGCTGTGTTTTAGAAATAATGGTCATTTTAATACAAGGTCCCAAAATAACTGTCATTAGTCAATTTGACCTGTGCACAAATCTTAATATTTAAAGACTGCTTCCTGACCTTCTCCAGCTGCACAGATAAGAAATGAAAATAATCTCAAATTTCCAAATA